TGTGCGACCGAGGTGTGTGGCTTTGACAATTAGCAGTCTATACTAAAACAGAGGAGAGATACATAAAGTCATGTTTTTCTCCCTGATATTCATTAATGGCAGAGATTGCTTACTGGACTCTTGGGAAGGGGGAGTTGGCCCCAAAGGAAAAAGTTGTTCTTTCATGTAGGTCCCCACTGATTTTATCTCATTGTACGCTATCATGCACACAAACGATTTGAGGCCAGTGTAACCATAGCAATCCCTGTTGTAAGCAGTGGCAAAAGCTGCTGCGTGTGGACAAGTGTTCTCTACACTGAAAAACAGCAAGTTGTACTTTAAAGTCCCCAGGCCACTCCAATCCACAAAGACTCTTAATTTCCAGTTGGATTCCCAATCTCTTCCCATAGATATGTTGGTCTTTTAATAAAGGTCTCCATATGTATTGTATTAATTGCATATTTCTTTGACCATATCTAGTCATTTAAAATGTTCAGAAGATTTAGTGTGAAGTCTGTTGTGCTTCTCAATCAGTAGCAGTTTAGCTCAGGAGTTGAGCTCTATATTGTTGGGGGAAAATGTACATAAATAGTCACTAATGGAAAGAAACAACTCGGCAGGGGTCATTTCCTACAAGGAGCGGGAGATTGCGATGCAAAGGAAATCGGTAGTTAAAGCATGAAATACTGAGCACAGTAAACAGAAAAATGACCTCCACTGCAACGCCCAAATGACCTCAATCTTCCTTCGGAGGGGTGTTTCTGAAAAAATACCCGAACATTTATGTCTTCCACTTCCTAATAGTTTTTCCAGCTGATTTTTTCAAAATTGCTGTCCTCTAAAAAGGTGACCTTTTCACCCCGGCCCGCAATTGTCTAACACAAAATTGTACAGTAATGCGCCACTGATATACGGTGAGCTCGAGACTGCACATAATTCCACAAGTCATTGTTTCAAAAGAGGAAGCCCACAATGTAAATAAAGTAACTGAGAAAGCATGTGTGGTGGGCAGCACTGGGTGCATTGTAGTATGTGTCCCAAATGGCTCCCTATTCCCTATATAGTGCACTACTTTTGACCAGGGAACTGGTCAAAAATAGTGCACTATATAGGGAATAGTGTGCCGTTTGGGAAGCAGCCACAATGTATCCTCTAATGAAAAAAAAAGTATTTTATGCGCTGTCCGTGATTTACATAATGCCAGCAATGTCTCACGCATAATTGTGCTTGAGCTTCGCTTTATGGCCGAGATTAAATGAAGAAGCATATACTAGCTCTGACTTTGTGATAAATACTTAATTGAGGGAAAATGTACTTGCTACGACCGTGATATGTGGTTGTCTCACCTAGCTATCTTAAGATGAATTAACTAATTGTAAGTCGCTCTGGATAAGAGCGTCTGCTAAATGACTCAAATGTAAATATAAATATTGTTATACAAAGTTAATTGAAATAGAACTTTGTTTCCTCTCCCATAGCAATATCTTATTTTTTCCTCAACAAAAATAGCATGCCCAGTAAAGTACAATGTATTGATAATGATAGTGACAGACTTTTGAGTGAAGAGAAATACAGCTTCAGGAGTGGTAAAAAGAATACTCCAATTTAAAGTGGATGACACTGCTAAAGATGGCTGAATATTTAATTGAGCTTTGGCCTTCTCTGTTAATACTGAACATTGTTTATGTCAATTGAAACATTGACAACTTTGAAGAGTTGGGCACCAAACTAGCCATGGTGGTCTTTTAAAATGGCAGGAAATAATTCCAAAACTGATTAAGATGATGTAGAGCATATTATTCACTAACCTCTAAGTTTTGCCCATGATATAAGTTATTTACAACATGATAAAGATCTGGACTTGATTTTGAGCCTGGAACATCTGCTCAAGGTGAACTTTGGTGGTTCTTTTCATAAAGTGAAAGGTAACAGTGTGCAGTTCTGCCCTAAAAAGGCAGCTCTTAATATGGAATGCTAGAGGCAGCTGCACATGCTTTAGCCGAGGACATGTTTTAAAGATAGCCCGGGTTAGGTGAAATAATGCCACCCGCTCCTACCCCTAACAGTCACTCTGTCACCGCTATTGTTTAGTGGAGCTTCTTTAGAGAAATAGAGATGATACTGTATCTCTCAGTTTATAACATGTATTTTCACTATGGAAACAATAACAAACATTTTTGGTAAACATACAGTGCATTCGGAAAGTATTCATACGCCTTGACTTTTTCCACATTTTGTTACATCACAGCCTTATTCTAAAATGGATTAAATAGTTTTTTCCCCTCATCAATCTACACACAATATCCCATAATGACAAAGCAAAAACAGGTTTATAGACATTTTTGCAAATGTATTAAAAATAAACTGAAATATAACATTTACATAAGTATTCAGACCCTTTACTCAGTACTTTTTTGAAGCACCTTTGGCAGTGATTACAGCCACGAGTCTTCCTGGGTATGACGCTACAAGTATTTGGGGAATTTCTCCCATTCTTCTCTGCAGATCCTCTCAAGCTCTGTAAGGTTGGATGGGGAGCGTCACTGCACAGCTATTTTCAGGTCTCTCCAGAGATGTTCAATCAGGTTCCAGTCCGGGCTCTGGCTGGGCCACTCAAGGACATTCAGAGACTTGTCCCGAATCCACTCCTGCGTTGTCTTGGCTGTGTGCTTAGGGCCAATGTCCTGTTGGAAGGTGAACCTTCGCCCCAGTCTGAGGTCCTGAGCGCTCTGGAGCAGGTTTTCATCAAGTATCTCTCTGTACTTTGCTCCGTTCATCTTTCTCTCGATCCTGACTAGTCTCCCTGTGCCTGCCGCTGAAAAACATCCCCACAACATGATGCTGCCACCACCATGCTTCACCGTAGTGATGGTGCCAGGTTTCCTCCAGACGTGACACTTGGCATTCAGGCCAAAGAGTTCAATCTTGGTTTCATCAGACCAGAGATTCTTGTTTCTCATGGTCTGAGAGTCCTTTAGGTGCCTTTTGGCAAGCTCCAAGCGGGCTGTCAGGTGCCTTTTACTGAGGAGTGGCCTCCGTCTGGCCACTCTACCATAAAGGCCTGATTGGTGGAGTGCTGCAGAGATGGTTGTCCTTCTGGAAGGTTCTCCCATCTCCACAGAGGAACTCTGTAGTTCTGTCAGAGTGACCATTGGGTTCTTGGTCACTTCCCTGACCAAGGCCCTTCTCCCCCGATTGCTCAGTTTGGCCGGGCTGCCAGCTCTAGGAAGAGTCTTGGTGGTTCCAAACTTCTTCCATTTAAGAATGATGGAGGCCACTGTTTTCTTGGGGACCTTCAATGCTGTAGACATTTTTTGGTACCCTTCTCCCAGATCTGTGCCTCATCACAATCCTGTCTCTTAGCTCTACGAACAATTCCTTCGACCTCATGGCTTGGTTTTTGCTCAGACATGCACTGTCAACTGTGGGACCTTATATAGACAGGTGTGTGCCTTTCCAAATCATGTCCAATTAATGGAATTTACCACAGGTGGACTCCAATCAAGTTGTAGAAACATCTCAAGGATGATCTATGGAAACAGGATGCACCTGAGCGCAATTTCGAGTCTCATAGCAAAGGGTCTGAATACTTATGTAAATAAGGTATTTCTGTTTTTTGTCAACATTTGAAAGGTGCTGGAAACGAAAGCCACAGGCTGCAGCAGTGCAGCCTACTGAGAGCAGAGGAGAGGACCTCTATACCAGGACCTCTGATACCTGGTGGTGTCAGAGGAAGGCCCTAAAAATTGTAAAAGACTCCAGCCACCCAAGTCATAGACTGTTCTCTCTGCTACCACACGGCAAGCGGTACCGGAGCACCAAGTCTAGGTCCAAAAGGCTCCTTAACAGCGTTTACCCCCAAGCCAGAAGACTGCTTAACAGTTAATCAAATGGCTACCCGGACTATTTGCATTGACCCCCTATTTTACGCTGCTGCTAATAGCTGTTTATTATCTATACATAGTCACTTTACCCATACCTACATGTACATATTACCTCAATTACCTCGACTAACCTGTACCCCCGCACATTGACTTGGTACCGGTACCCCCTGTATATAGCCTCGTTATTGTTATTTAATTGTGTTACTTTAAAAAAAAAACTTTAGCTTATGACATTTTTATTCTTTTTTTTTTAGCAAATATTTTCTTAATTAAAAAAATTAAATCTGCATTGTTGGTTAAGGGCTTGTAAGTAAGCATTTCACGGTAAGGTCTACACCTGTTGTATTCGGCAGATTTAAAATTTGATTTGATTTGAGAAGAGTAATGTAAGAGCGAAAGATGGGGCTAGAATTTGCTGGCTAGCTGGCTTAGTTCCGCTAAAACTACTATGAGGGCTGGAAGGTGATGCCGTTGAGGTTGCTAGTTTGCATGGACACCAGGCAACTCTATGTAAAGACCCACTGTAGCGCTAGCAGGGCTAACAGCATAGTGACCCAACGAAAGCATGGACTCTGTTTCTACCCCTTGCCTGTCAGGGTTAAAACTAAGCAGCCCCCCACTCATTGGCAGAACCACAGCCTCTTTTGGTAAAGGGGAAGATTGGAAGATAACATTTCAGGAGGGTCTCTACAGAGCTGTCATGTGAAGGATTATGTAGCTTGTGTACTGGCTGCTTGTAGTACCTTAGGGGGTCCGATACTGATCTGGATGTGGTTTTCCTATTCAGCTCTCAGAGAGTTCTTTCCTTCTTTTTTCTGCAGCAGCTAATACGTTAAAACTCTGACTAAACTGACTGTCAGTGGTTTGGCTAACATATGCCCACTGTATGTATGTATCTATCTCTTTGTCCCTGCAGTCTTGTGATTGCTGTTATTATATAAAAAAAAGGCAGTGCTTTGGGGCTATTTATAGAAGCTGTTAGACTGTTTTTTCCATGGTGAAGCTCAAATAATCACAAGTGAATGACACTTGATCCATGGCACTTTGTTGATGAAGAGAGCTGGCCTATAGCTCTCATCTGATAAACGTGTTCATTGAGGGAAATTATGATGGAATTTGAATAACACAAATATAATTCCATGGTAGAACGTTTGATTATAACATATGATGGTTCTTAAACATATTAATTGACATTTAACCATATTATTTTCTCTCTTTTCTTTTTTTCCAACAGCTGAAAGGACTTTATACACTGAAAAGACCTCAGGAAAATCCAACATGGCCGGCAAAAGGAAAGGTGGCCTAAAACTCAATGCAATCTGTGCCAAGCTGAGCCGTCAGGTGGTGTACGACGGCAGCTCCCAGCATGCTGAGGGAGACCACAGCGTGGCAGAGAACAGCGAGCGCGGGAGCTCCCATTATGACGACAGCGGCGAGCGATTCGAGACCAACTTCCCCGAGGGCCTGAGTCTCGGCCAGAGCCTCGAAGAGGACCAGAAACGGCGCAAGGCCATTGAGAAGTGGGTCAACGGGGAGTATGGGGATGAACCACCACCCTCTGCCCTGGACTGTGGGGAGGAACAGCAGCAACAGCAGGGACTCAAGCCCAACAGTGGCGAGGACGGACCCCCCGAGGGTGTGTACATGGTACAGCCCAAGGGCTGCAGTGACGAGGAGGACAACGCACTTGACGAGCCCGAACCCATGTTCGACTCCCGGGAAGGCAGTTACCACGACGACAAGGACTCGGAAGACGGGCCTCAAAAGGACGTCTACATGCCGTTGATAAGCGAGCCCCAGAGTCGCCAAGCACCTTTCTCCTCTCCAGGTACAAGGCTCTCTTTCTTTTCTCGTTTTTCTGTTATTTTCTCATCACTCCTCTCAATGAATTCTGTTCTCGCTTTAACTTTAACTGCCCTTCAAAACCTTCTATTCCATTCACTAAAGTGTTAAGGAGCAAAGCTATAGTGGGTGGGGGACATAGCCACATCCACAACCTGTCCTGAACCTGTCTCTGGAAAGAGAGACTGTAAGGTTACAATGTGAATTCATGGGTTGCACTTTTCTTCACAATATTGTTTTGAACTGAGTGTTCTACCCACTTGTCAAATAGCACTGATTAATATTTCATCAAAAGTGGCTTGGAAACATGATTACATTTCAAAAGGAGGCAAATAATAAGTAGGAAAACCTTATGTCATCATTGTGATGTTGCTAGATTGACTATAGATGCCATATAACTTAAGCTAGCTAGCTAATATTGAGGGAACAGCACCAAAATCTAGTTAGCTACCGTTAGCATTGCTAGCTATTTTTGACAAACTTTGCTCGCTAATGACAAGATTGTCGTCTCTAAAGTAAACTTGACGACATCATAATGATGGCAAAGTTGCTTCCTACTAATTACTTGCCTACTTTAGCAATGTAATCATATTTCCAAGCCACTAGTATAATTTAGACAAAAGTAATTAGTCCTCGTTCAGAAAGATTGGCCATTAGTCATCAATCGGGCATCAATATGTCTGCGGCGTCTGTAGAACGTTGATAACAATGGCAACGACGCGACCGAGGGACAGAGGTGCAACTCATGAATAGCCAGTGACAGTATTACTCCACAGACAGATGGAACTGACTGACAGGCTATTGGGAAAACAGGAACCTTTGTTTGTGTGTGTGTAGTTACAGTAAGTGAAACAAGAAATTCATCCAGTATTTGGAGTAGGCTTACGCTGTGTAGGCCAAAAGAGGTTGTCAGTCCAAGGCTAAGCTTCATATTACACCCAGAATTACGTTTTGAGTTTTAGATTTTTCCCTAAGCTCACTAAACTTAGTCACTGCCCAAACCCACTATTACATACAGTGGTAGCCTAGTCTGCCTTGGAGGAGTATAGGTCTCCATCGTTGCTGAGGAAAGATTAGCTCTTAGCACTTAAATACAGATAATCGGTTGTCAAATAAAGTCTGAAATAGAATAAGAACCTATTTCTTGCCATCTCCATTGAATTACAGTTGAGGGTACATTATTGTTCATGAACATAACATTTGATGAAAGCAGATATTCTGTAAGTGTATTTGCTTTAATTAATTTATTCATCAATTGATTTGCTGTGCGTTAGTGGCTTACAGCAACAGCCTATTAAATTATCTGTCTCTTTTTACATGATGTTCCTCTGGTATCACTGAGGGACAATCAAATAGATAAGGTGGCATGCACCTTAACGGTTTGTTCTTGATGTGGCAACAGCGATGTGTTAACTGCACAAACAATCTCCAGAGAATGCACCGTTTACAGACTTGAACTTGGAAACCAGAAGGAGACACATTGGTATCTGAGAGACTGCTACTGTAGAATTCAAAACACAGAGCATTAAAAAATAAAAGAAAATAAAAAATAAAAGATTAGTTTCACAGATAACCACAAAATAAGTGACAGAACAAGACACAGTTGGAGTCGTGTTGTTGTCGTGTGGTACAAAACAGGTTTTGTTTAGGTCTGTTTTCTGCTTGCTCACCTCACTTTTCACAGAATTTTTTTTGGTCTTTCATCTCGTGTTTCAGTGTCATGTACATATGCTGCAGAAGGGTTTTTTCGTATTATTATTCTTTCCTTTTTTGTTTACACCGGTGGAGCAGCAGTGGCTGTGGCCTCTCAGAGAAGTGGGGCCAAGGGCTTCTCAGAAAAATATTTTTTTCCGGCAAATGCAGGGGCTTTGTGGTTTTAATTAGTCATTTTGTGTTTATTTGGTGCCTGTAACAAAAAAACCTGTCTGTAAATGTGTGTTTGTGTTGTGAAACAGGCTTACACCTTTCCCTCCGTTGGGTCCCTGCTACTTTACATCTCACAACAAAGGCAAACTGTTTGAAGACTGTGGAGAGAGCATCCTGCATTAGTAGCAACTCTTGTCTTTGTTTTTTTTGTTTTTTTTTGCGTTGCTCTTTGTTGATTGTAACTAGGGCATCTATATTGCCATGTTTCTGTGGCGCTCACAATTAAAACATTTTCCCCCCCTCTCGCCGCTGTCTTTCAAAGGCTGATGCAGAGCGCGCATAATTATGCATATAAACATAGTGGCTTAATTATCTCTCACAACATCAGTGACAATGTAATTAACAAACATTGCAAGATCAATGAGAGAAACTGCGACCTTCAAAACATTTAACTCCTCACATCGAGGCAGCGTGTGGATTTCATATCAGTGCAAAACCCCAGAATACTTTTCCTAGATCATTTAGATGTCGCATTATTAGGCCCCTCATAAGCTATTCAGTGAAAACAACAGAATAAAAACATTGAAAGCAATGATGAAGATGCTCATGGAATCAAACACAACTGACCATGACTTCCAATTGCACTGCTGTGTTCTGTGTCAAAGGTTATGGATCATTTTCAAAATATTCTATTATATATATATATTCTATTTATTTATTTCAAAATAGCAAGCATGTTAACTTGCAAGAATTTGAGGAATCATTCTGCAACTCATTAGTTTCTCAGTCATCCCAGACATTTGTTTCCACTTAAACAAAATGCTAAATTCAACAAAACCTACAATGCAGAACAACAGCACTGTCACTTCACCCAGACGAGAGCTCAGTAAAATCAAAATGATTTTTTTATTGCAGTCAACATTGTCTAAGTTGTCACATTAAAGCTCATTAAAGCTATTTTTCCTCAGCTAGGGTTTGATTGAACTCAAGCCAAGGCAGGCTAGAGGCCAGAGGTGCCAATACCATCATCCTCATTCCATTTAATGACTTGAGACATCAGCTTAACACACAGAACTCTGCAGTTCAGGTGATTTTGAAAGACAATGTTTGACCGAACGATTAGCATTGGAAATGGGGCGGCAGGTAGCTTAGTGGTTAAGAGCGTTGTGCCAGTAACCGAAAGGTCTCTGGTTCTAATCCCCGAGCTGACTAGGTGAAAAATCTGTCGATGTGCCCTTGAGCAAGGCACTTAACCCTAATTGCTCCTGTAAGTCGCTCTGGATAAGAGCGTCTGCTAAATGACTAAAATGTAAATGTAAATGTAAATGTCCTGCTCTAAAACCCTAGGTGTATTTAAAGTGAGGTTATAGGCCATATATAGTCTCCACAGCAAACCGCAGCCTTATCATCTCCAACACCTCACCCTACTCCATCTGTGACCCTCAGAAGCCATGGTGGCACGCTGATGTCCATGTTTGGTTAGCAAAAAGGAGATATAATGCCCATTTGTTATCACATCAGGGGAGAAGGGAAATGTGGTCCTATATTGCCTCAAACACAGACAAGGCTCTGTGTCACGTGTTGGAATTTGCCAGGCATGAAGTGCCGAGATTACACCCACTTCTTTTAATACTCTCCAATGACACCACAGTGAGAGACGGGGAGAGGAAAGAAGAGAGAGAGGAAAAAAAGAGAGAATGCACAGTAGCAGCAAGGGCCAATCTCACCTTAACCTGTAAGCCCCGGTCTCCCTCACAGGCGTTCGCATGACATCATTAAGAGGGCGCGAGATAAGGCTGGAGAAGAAAACTCATTTACATGGTGTTTCACAAAGGTTATCTGCTGTCGGTTCCAGGCGTAATCCTTTCAGTTCAAGTCCAATCATTGGCCTGCCATTGATAGCCCATCACGTGGTCTGAGAACGGAATAATGTGACTCGGCTAATTTTAAGAATAACAACTTCTATAAAAAAACAACCACAACAATAACTTAGATTATAAGCCTACTGCTGCTACCACTGCTACTATTACTACCACTACTGCTATCTGCTAACTACTTAAGCAATAAGGCATGAGAACCCGGGTATTATCGTGTGTTATACCACAGCATTGTTGAAAATTAGTTTCTGATTGGCTAGAAGGGCATTCTAGAATGGATATTAAAACCAGATAACGTGACAGTTGGAAAATATATCGGGACACCTTGCAATCATAACGTGGCTCATCGTGCTCTAGCGACTCCTTGTGGCGGGCCGGGCGCCTACATGCTTACCGTCAGTTGGACGGTGTTTCCTCCGACACATTCGTGCGGCTGGCTTCCGGGTTAAGCGGGCGGGTGTTAAGAAGCACGGTTTGGTGGTTCATGTTTCGGAGGATGCATGACTCGACCTTCGCCTCTCCCGAGCCCAATGGGGAGTTGCAGCGATGAGACGATCGTAATTGGATCACAATTGGATATCAAGAAATTGGGGAGAAAATACAAAAAATTAAATACAAATAAAACAGCATGATCATTACACAGGTGCACCTTGTGCTGGGGACAATAAAATGCCACTGTAAAATGTGCAGTTTTGTCACACAACACAATGCCACAGAGGGAGCGTGCAATTGGCATGCTGACTGCAGGAATATCCACCAGAGCTGTTGCCAGAGAATTGAATGTTCATTTCTCTACGATAAGCCACCTCCAACGTCCTTTTAGAGAATTTGGCAGTACGTCCAACCGGCCTCACAACCGGAGAACATGTGTATGGCGTCGTGTGGGCGAGCGGTTTGCTAATGTCAACGTTGTGAACAGAATGCCCCATGGTGGTGGTGGGGTTATGGTATGGGAAGGCATAAGCTACGGACAATGAACACAACTGCATTTTATCGATGGCAATTTGAGTTACTGTGATGTGATCCTGAGGCCCATTGTCGTGCCATTCATCCGCCGCCATCATCTCATGTTTCAGCATGATAATGTACAGCCCCATGTCGCAAGGATCTCTACACAATTCTTGGATGCTGAAAATGTCCCAGTTCTTCCATGGCCTGCATACTCACCAGACATGTCACCCATTGAGCATGTTTGGGATGCTCTGGATCGACGTATACAACAGCGTGTTCCAGTTCCTGCCAATCTTTCACTAACTTCACACAGCCATTGAAAAGGAGTGAGACAACATTCCACAGGCCACAATCAACAGCCTGATCAACTCTATGCGAAGGAGATGTGTCGTGCTGCATGAGGCAAATGGTGGTCACACCAGATACTGACTGGTTTTCTGCTCCACTCCCCTACCTTTTTTTAAGGTAACTGTGACCAACATATGCATATCTGTATTCCCAGTCATGTGAAATCCATAGATTATGGCCTAATGAATTTATTTCAATTGATTGATTTCCGTAAACTCCGTAAAGTCTTTGAAATTGTTGCATGTTGCATATATATTTTTGTTCAGTATAATATACTACAACCACTTCAAAACAATAATAATAAAAGTACTACTGTAGTAATAATACTAAAATAACAAATTAATAGTATAGATCATTCATGACAATCATACGTTTTAGAATTAGAGAGTTTTTTAAAGTACGTGAAGTCTGAAAACAGGATTGGTTTCCCCCAAAAAATGTTTAGGATTGTGCAAGTGTAAGGTTCAATTTATTTGTCATAATAATAATAATAATAATAATAATAATAATAATAATAATAATAATAATAATAACAATAATAATAATAATAATAATAATAATAATAAAAGAATAACATTATATAAAATATCACTTTTAGAATCAAGGCTGGGAATAGCAATAGTATGCGAAGTGCTGAAAAATACTTTTTCGTATTAGGACTATGAGAAAGACAATCTGTAGAAATGTGTTTTAATCCCCATTTTAAAAGCTCTGATTGATGGAGCGGCTCTCAGATGGTCATGGAAATGCAATGAAATGCTTACCCCAGAATATTGCTCACCTCATAATAATAATAATAGTAAATAAAAAAGATGCATTACAACAATAAATTCACATCAATAAATATACATAAGTACACATAGAAGACATAAAATGTATAATATACAGTGCAGTACAACCATAATATAATTTGCTGTTTAGCAGACTCACCGCTTGGGGGTCAATGCTGTCCTTTTACTTGGGGTTAAAAGCGGTCCCCAGCTGAACATTTTGTCATTGAAACTTTTTGACTCATATTCTACTATTCCTGGAACCAGTGGAATGTCTTGTCCCTCACTTCGAAGATGTGAAGACGGTCCGGCCTATCATTAGAGCTATATGATATGACCTGAGACGGCCTGGCTAACCATGCTAAACGTCATGACCCTACTACAGGAGAAGCCCATGGATGTAGAGTACAGTAAACACTCCCATGACTAAACCACAAACTAATGTCAAGGTGTATCTTAGGACAGAAAATGAGGGAAAAGTTGAGAACATTTTTACACAATTTGGTGCATGTCCGTATTAGTAGATGATGATATGATAATGTATTTAGCAGACACTTTTGTTAGTTCATACGTTTTCATATTGGTGATCCCAGCAGGAAACCAAACCATGATCTTGGATCTACCAATTGAGCCAACAGGATTACAGATATTTTATATTTAGTATGGGGGTCCTACTGAATTGAGAAGTAGGTGAAAGTCAACGGGCTGCTTGATAAATGCAGATAAATCTAGTGGCCATTAATAAAGTACTATCTTATCGATGTTATATTATCTAATCTCACTCAGTGGTCCAACACGCATGTAAAAAAAAACATGCTGGATTGATCAGATGATACGTGGCAAAACAGGCAGGAATTTCCTCTCAAATTCAAATACCTGATCCATTTCTCTTACATTTTTCATGCCCTTTCAATCCGCCAGATCCCCTTTCATACCGATGTGCCACAGAGAGCAGTAACCCCGGCGACGCTGATGGAAATTTGGGGATTATTTTACACTCCGTGAAGGAGATGTGAAAAGGCATGTGGGGGAGAGGCGACCGATTTAGCAATAACACAGAAATCCGAGACGAGAGCTGAAATCTTTTTGTATTAATTACCAGGACGGCGGCTGGTATTACCGCTGGCCCCGCCTTGTGTGTGTGCGTTAGTGATGAAAAAAGCAATCAAATAAATTAAGAAAAGGTCTGGAGGAGTGGGGTCCTGGGCCCGTGGCCAGAATGGAACCAAGAATGCCAAAAGTTTTATATGACACCTAAGTGAAGTTGTCGTCTGGAGCGTAGTGGCTGCGTTCATGATATCTTATCTGACATTCAAACTGACACCAGGCAAGATTTTTGGAATAGATCTGGATCAGTAAACACTACTGTTAAGAAAGGAAAAGCTGAATGCCCAAGGGTTTCCTCCTCTCTCTCTCTCTCTCTCTCTCTCTCTCTCTCTCTCTCTCACACTCTCTCTCTCTCTCTCTCTCTCTCTCTCTCTCTCTCTCTCTCTCTCTCTCTCTCTCTCTCTCTGTCTCTGTCTCTGTCATGCTCTCCCTTTCTCAGACACACACACACACACACACATATACATACATTCTCTCAATCTCTCTCTTATACACACACACATACACACACACACTCTACTGCTAGTGGCGTGTCTTAATAAGGGCTAGCTATGCAGTGCTCTTTCTCCCCCTCTTTTTTTCAGGCACATTTTTTTTCAATTTTCCCCCACTTGCTGACCTCTTGCGCTAACCTGGATGAAAGTTAATGAGCCAGAATTAATCTCCACATAATGCAATTAAACTATACATTTACTACATTTCCCCATGTCCTTGGGGAGGTTGTTCAATTTAATGGACTCTTAAAATAAAAAAGCGACGTTTCAGTTCACAAATATGTAAAAGCACATATGTGGCTTCCGTAGATAGAGACGTGATGGACTTGAAATAATGTTTTTTACTAAAGGGAACACGTTTTCAGAATGTCGTGACAATCAGAAGGCCCACTGGTAAGGTCTTTCACTGAGAAAATTAAACAATGTAACCTATTTCAAATTCTCAAGCATTCAACAATTCAATAATATACGAGAGATTAAATGGTATCTGCTCTTTCCATGACATAGACTGACAAGTGAATCCATGTGAAAGCTATGATCCCTTATTGTGTCACTTGTTAAATCCACTTCAATCAGTGTAGATGAAGGGAAGGAGACAAGTTAAAGAAGGATTTTTAAGCCTTGAGACAATTGAGACATAGATTGTGTATGTGTGCCATTCAGAGGGTGAATGGGCAAGACAAAAGATTTAAGGGCCTTTGAACAGGGTATGGTAGTAGGTGCCAGGCGCACCGGTTTGAGTGTGTCAAGAACTGCAACGCTGCTGGGTTTTTCACGCTTAACAGTTTCCCATGTGTATCAAGAATGGTCCACCACCCAAAGGACATCCAGCCAACTTGACACAACTGTGGGAAGCATTGGAGTCAACATGGACCAGCATCCCTGTGGAACACTTTCGACACCTTGTAGTCCATGCCCTGACGAATAGAGGCTGTTCTGAGGGGCAAAAGGGGGTGCAACGCAATTTTAGGAAGTTTTGTACAATTGGTGTATATCTAAAGTGTTAGGTGAGGAAAGTAGTACAGGTAATTTTGGTTTGTTCTCGTCATCATTCATTTCAGAAGACTGACTGGGGAAGTTCCATGGAATGTTTTGGTTCATTTCCAGTACGTTCGGCATAAAATGACTGACAAAGAAACAGCCCTTTTCAGCTTTCTACAGGTTTTATGATTGTTGGATAGAAGAATCCACCTACCTCAGACTTTTTCTCGATTTTATGATACTTTAGAACTTACCTAGATGTTAACGGTCAATAGAACGTCACACTTAGGCAAAGCGGTCATCCAAAAACAGTGTATCACATATCTTACCTAAGGGCTCTGTTCTCTCTTCTCTTCCCTGTTCTGTGCAGGAGAGGCATCCACTCTGCGAGACTACGCAGCCAACACAATGAACGAGTTCCTGGGCATGTTCGGCTACGACGACCAGCAGGAGAGGGACGAGCTGGCCAAGAAGATCAGCTTCGAGAAGCTCAAAGCCGCTACCTCAGGCTCCGACCCGTCCTCCCTGAGCAGCGAGGAGGCCACGCGGCGAGCCCGCTTTTCCAAGTATGAGGAGTACATCCGCAAGCTGAAGGCTGGCGAGACCCTGCCCTGGCCCATCCACCCCAACCCCAAACAAGAGGACCTCAACTCCAAGCTGGCACAGGAGAAGAATGCCCTGCTCCAGGCCCAGATGGCCGCCTCTGGGGGGTGCCACCCCGGGGCTGAGGGCCAGATCTATCACTCCAGCCTGGACCACAAGCAGGGGCAAGGACAGGGGCACAACCTTGGGCACAATCCCCCACCGCCCAACCCCACCTCCCACCTCCAGAACATGGCCTCCCGCGCCTCCAAGTACGACTTCTTCATCCAGAAGCTGAAGATGGGCGAAAGCCTGCGGAGCCAGCAGAACGGCAATGCTTACAAGAAGCCCTCCAAGTACGACCTGGAGAACGTCCGGTACCTGCACCTCTTCAAGCCCGGCGAGGGGAACCCTGACATGGGGGGCGCCATCGCCTACAAAACGGGGAAGGTTGGCCGCCCGTCCAAGTACGACATCAAGAACATCCAGAAGCTGATGCCAGGGAGGCCCGAGTCCTCGCTGATGCCCGGCGTTCTGCCTGCCATGCCTGGGAACCCGGGGACACCAGGGGCCCCCACCTCGACCTCCTCCGCCGGGGCCACGGGCCCCCCAGGGCTCATCATGGATCAGACAGGCCACATGGGCTTCAACACCTCCGACTACATGAAGTCTAGCTTCTCCAAGACCGACTCCATCACCACGGGCACTGTGTCCTCTGTCAAGTAAGAACCTCTTCAGATGACTTGAATGACACTTAAGCTGAAAGGCACCACATAGGTACAGTAGATCTGCATGAGAAACATGCTAAGCTTCTCTCACACAACAATATTAATGTGTGTACTGTATACATGCTGATATTAATAGTTTTTTCAAGAGTCATACATTTTCATGAATGAATTATGAGATCCCAGTAGTGAAAATTGGCCGCTCATGTCAAAAATAGTCCAAGGAAAGAATGAAAATCTCTCACCAAATTCTGTCATTGCACCAAAAGTTGCCTATGCAAACCTCCCTGAATTATTAAATCAAATAAGCCATCAACTGAATCCCCCACGTTTTATTTAGCTTGTGTTTTGAAATGATTCCAGGTTTTAATATTGTACAATTCTCCTAAATTGTCTCTGTGGGACACCTGGGAGATAATGGCCGTCTCACATACACTTAACTACCACTGCGAGTCAGTTAGCCTAACGCAAAGGTAATTGCCACCTCCACAACAGCCGATGCGAATGTAGTGTGAAATAGCGCATGGTGCCAATAGATCCACGACGAGTAGCGAAGGCCCATGAAGTGTTTACTCGCTGGGCGCTTTCTGTGGAGACTGATTTAGCACAGTCATCGCAAAGTGACTGACTTCCTCCTTCGGCTGGGATGGAACAACTGTCCTTTTAATTACTTTGGAGCTGTGACTAACTTACCGGAGAGTCACAGGGCCTAGGCTGAACACTAAAAGGCTCTACATGGTCAATCCGACGTCTGAAGTGGCCGTACAGCATTTACTGCAATGCAGACTTCAGGGCTTTCATACTTCTTGCGTTTAGCGGAGCAGAGCAGAGCTATTGTGAAAGAAGTTGTCAATTGCGTCACACCCTCTATACGAAGCCTCTAACCACATTTTCAGATCAAGCATAAATTGGCCTTTACACAGTACACTCTGAAGTAAGCAAACTAGGGCATTTGGGGAGCTAGCCCTGGTTAGCGTTAGCAAACAAGGGCATTTGGGGAGCTAGCCCTGGTTAGCGTTAGCAAACTAGGGGATTTGGGGAGCTAGCCCTGGTTAGCGTTAGCAAACAAGGGCATTTGGGGAGCTAGCCCTGGTTAGCGTTAGCAAACAAGGGCATTTGGGGAGCTAGCCCTGGTTAGTGCTAGCAAACCAGGGGGTTTGGGGAGCTAGCCCTGGTTAGCACTAGCAAAAAAGGGGGTCCCTCTCAAGGCAGGTTACATCTCAGTCAGAACCATGCAATGTTGGGGGAAACGCCTATCCTGAGTTTAAACCTAATGTGTTTCTGATGATTGGACTCAGTTCAATCATCTCCCCCCAGTCTTATTTGTTCTACCCAACTTATCGCTAGCTGAAACAATGCCTTCTGTTCCATCGAACCCTGTCTTCTCCTTCTGTTTGAACTCAGTCCATACCCCTGATGAGACAACATGACAACAGCCTTTGGAGGCAGGGTCCTTAGGGACCTTCAGAAAAGATTTTGCCTATCCCCATTATCTAGATTTGCATATGAGCGCTCTCCAAAATAGTGCCATAAATGATTGTCTTTCCACTGCCTTTTGCCTTTCATTGTTGGAAAGCCATGCAAAAGTGTGTTCATACCTTCCTGATTCAAGCCCACGTGAAAACCGCTGTTGCGTCACATAAAATGTACATTGATTGCCGAAGTGTTAGTTGTTTTTATTAACAGTGTGCCCAATACCTCATTAATCCTGTCTCTTTTTGTGTCTGCTTGTATTAGGAACGGCCTACCGCCTGAGAAACCTGTCACAGAGGACGTCAACCTGTACCAGAAATATATCGCCAGGTATGCAAATCCTCCCTCTCCGGTGAAACAAATGTTGTCCCGGACATTGAGACAAAGCTTTACTATTAACTGATGGCGTATTTTACACAGTGATGAACTAGATGTGTAAAATAGTGGTAGAGGGAGGTTTTGTGCTGCAAAGTGAGGGAAATAGTAAGAGGCCGAGTTTATGGGCTGAGAGGAAGTGGAATTCTGTTAGGAGGAATGAGGCATGAGATGGTTTCTATGGTGGTGAGAGGTGTGCTGACAAGATGGTGGTACTTACTCTGTTTGAGGTCGAGAATTTAATTCAAAGTTACTATACTGGAACACTTTGCATGTCAGTCTTGAGTAGTTCAAGCGTACTGTACGGCGGTGTATATGGAACGAATATAGAGTGAACTGTTGGTTACATGGCTGCATGGTCTCTAAATTGTCCTCTTTATCACTCACAAAACACGGAGACAAAACATTGCAAGGTAATCTCACATTTCAATAGACAACACAGTATCCCATTCTCCAGTCATTTTGAACTCCACACTAGAAAGGTGATTATCACTTGTTTATTTCTTCACTTTAAAAAGAAAGGAAAATGACTATTTCAAAAGCCCAAAGTGGCTTTGGCGTTAATGATTACTTCTCCAAGCCGTAACATGAAGGACACAAATCAAAAGCACTGTCACTGACAGAAACACACATTTTCATTGTGCACACACACACACACACACATACACACACACACAAAACCTTCCTTGGACTGATTACATTTTGCAGATTTAATTAAGGAATTTTTAATGAGGCTTCTGCTGGCACTGCCAAGAACTGTTTTGATATTTGCGCTGCATAATGCATAAAATTTGTCTAAACATCTCAGTAGTTGATGCACGGGGAGGCTGCAGATAAGCCCAGATACAGTTTCAATTTCCGTGTTGGGGAGAGAGAGTGAAAAAAGAAAGGGAAGGGAGGAAAAAAGACAGAAAAGGAGGACTCATAAAAAGGGCAAATGTAGACTGGGGGGGGGTTCATCTCTCTGGAGCCACAGCTAATGAGCGTACATTTATGCTGAAAAACCCAGCTTTATAAATTTTGTTGACTCCCACCTTCCACCCTCCTCCCCCTCACCAACCAAGGGGGGAAAAGTTATTTATCTCCTTGCCACGCAACAGTTTGATGTTTTAAAGAGCTTCCCTGGTAGTGTTTAGTCGCAGTTTTCCCTCTTTAAATGCTTTCATGCACCCACTATTGCCGCGGCACTTTGATCTGCGTTGTCTCTATTGTAACAGGAGATGTGCCACAATCTCTGTATCGTTGTGATATTAATATTTAATCTACAGCTGAATAGCAGCGGCCCATTAGGCCCCCTGACGCGGCAAGTGGGAATTGTCCATAGGCAAAGTGATACAGCTGGGCAATGAGCAGAGGGGTGGGCCACAGTCCCAGGGGGGCTGTGTGTGCGCGTGTGTACGTGAGCGTGTGCGTGACCGTGTGTCTGAATACGTGTGTTCATACACAGTCCATAGAGCAGTAGGGCTGAGAAAAGCACCAATGGTGGGAGAGTTGGTTGGTGTGTGTGTGTGTGTGTGTGTGTGTGTGTGTGTGTGTGTGTGTGTGTGTGTGTGTGTGTAATGTACTCTACTGTTAGCTCCATTTCTGTTTTTTTTTTTTTTCTAAAGAAGCCGTCAAACCTTCCCGAAGCCCCTACCACCACCACCACCACCACCATACCCTGAGCCCCCCACCACACCACCAACTTTTAAAAGGTAGTGGATTTGCCGTTCAATTAGCCTAATGAACTCCGCAAAGTGATCTGTAAATGCAGCCCTAGGATAATCCTACAGGCTACAGGCAAAAAAACAGAGAGAGAGATAGAGAGAAAGAGAACGAGTGAGAGAGAGAGCAGATGGGGCTCTTGGCAGCGGCAGTCCAAATGTTTATTTGTGTGTTTTCAGTCATAATTGGAGGTTTTTAACAGTCATCAGTAAACGCTCAAGGAAATGGTGCCCACTCTTTTACCTGGAGAAGTCTTTACCGAGTCAGACTCTTACAGTCAAGAGGAGGAGGAAGGGGACGGGAGGGGGCGGCAGTAGCGTGTAGATCCACTCAAGCCTCTCAGCAGAACCTAACCTTCCTTTGATTAAAGCAAGCGCGGTTAACCTGAGAGAGAACTCCACAACATTGATTTGGCAAGGTTTAAAAGGCAAATGAGGGAATCATGCGTGGGGTTTACAGTTTAATAAGTGTCTGTGTACCGGCTGCTTTTGAAATAAACGGAGCTAATTTGAGTCGAAATTGGTGTGACAGGCGAGTCAATTGTGGCGGTGTGCGGAAAACAGACGTATTTGCGTGACGAGATGAGTTGTTTTGGAGGTATGGTTAGGATTAGGAGGTAGTTCTCTGTGAGGTGATTGGATTCCATTTTGGTAGTGATAGACACCTTGAATGTTAAAGGGGGACATTTGGGTTAGGTTAAGGTTCGTGAATAGAAACAGGTGTTTCCCTTCATGAAGGTGATGTTTTTGTCCGTTTGCTCACTAATCGCCAAAAGAAAAGGAAGGATACACCCAAGAGAAATAGGGAGGGACTTTATATTCAGACAATACTATCATTGCAAAATAGCATGCATGATTTTATACCACAATAACATAATTTTTCAGCCCATTTTTTGTGAAAATAACTTATTCTGCTCTATGACTGTCTTCAAAGAAGAAGCATTGGAGTGTCCACAGCTTTTACACCTGTAACTTGATTAGTCATGACAAAATCAGTCCACATGGCCCATGATGTAACTCTGTACCCTTTTTGTCACTTGACTTCCAGGTTCTCGGGGAGCCAGCACTGTGGACATGTGCATTGTGCCTACCAATACAGGGAGCATTACCACTGCATGGACACGGAGTGCAACTACCAGGTGAGTAGCTGTGTGCTGAACACCCCATACATTGTACATTTTAGGACACCCCTCCTATGACAAAAGTCCCGTGCTATGACAAGTTCTGTAAGAATGTCCTACAATGTACACCGTACAACCTGCTGAACACCCCTAAGGTGTACATTTTAGGACATTCCTATACCCTATGACTTAAGTCCCTACTCCCTCTGATAAAAGTCACCACTCCCGATGACAAAAGTCCCTATTACTTATACAAGGTTTTGTAATGTTGTCCTAAAATGGACACTGTACACCCCCTATCTAGGTGGCCTAGTCAGACACATGTTTGCCTTGTTTCCCCATCTCCCACAAATTGCAGGCTTCGCCTCTCTCTAGTCTAGGCCTTGCCTCGTGTCACCATGACAAACGAGATAACAGCGGCGGGGGTAATGCTGTACTCTTAACAGCCATGGTTCAGTGCCTCCAAATGTACTGTACTGCGCTGTGCTGTACTCTACTCTACATCCCCTACTGTCTCAACTTCAGCTAGCGAGAACCCATAGAGCCGGTGTCGCTGGGTGATTCAGAGACGTCTCTATAACTCACTGTCCCATTCACAAATATGGGGAAGTGTATGAGCACAGAGTTTGAATTCTCTTCCGTGTCTTCCTGACCTCTCGACGGGGAAAACTACGGGTTCTAGGATATACAGAGATGAATAATATGTCATCACTTCATCTCTGCTCATGCCCAACAAAGGCATGCACAGATGAAACGTTGTTGACGTGTGTCCGCCGAACAGGTTATGACTGCTGGCACTCGTCCAATTGAGAGCAAAGCTTTTTTTCTCTCACTAAGCTGATTCTGTGCACGGTTGGTCTTTGACAATTGGCTTTTATCCTGGGTTAATTGTAAATATGCTTGAAATATGGTTCCTTTTCGATGTGTTTTTTTTATTTTCCTGGAGACATCTGCCGTTGCTCTGGGCCTGCTTTTAATCCCCTTTCACGTTATTAATCTTGTCCCGGTCCCAAGAGTTGTCATGTACGGCACGGGGAGGGAGGAAAACAGTGTTAAGGAGATCAGAATACAGGCCTGTGTGTTTGCATTAGCATATGGTCTAAAAGAGTTAGGCAAACACAAGCGTATTTGTCAAAAGACGTCAAATCCTCACACTACTTGAGCGGTATGTTTTTCCGTCTTTCCGTCCGCTTTTCCGAGTTAAGGCATCTGTAGCTCTAATCACAAAGCATGACATCTAGACTTTCATTATTTTCACAAGTCATACTTTCACTGTTAGATAAGATGGATACTTGGCTGAATATAATGGAGAGAAAAAGGGCTTTGAAATGATTTCAAGTCGTCCTTTAGAATCTTTGTTTGGGTTATCAGGTCAAGACCCCATCTCTCATTGACTTGAAGTGCATCGCTCAAAATCTAGACATTTGTGTGTATATATCCGGCAAAATTGGCCAAACTAAGATGAGCAGCTCCTTTGGTAGTGATAACTCATGAAATGTTACATGACACACTCCTGGAATATTATCCTGCTGCCAGGCTCAGTGGCATTCTCCTTTCATGGGCCTGTGTGTGCATCCACTACAGTGGTGGGAATCCTAAAATACATGGTGCAAGTCAAGTGGCTTCCAGCTCCCAGACTCCAACTGAAAAGGAGCTCTTCTACCCTAGTCAGCTTTCACCAGGCTTATTTTGGCTTCCATAACTGATTGAACGCAGTGGGATGTCCACAGCTCAACTTCTCACCTCGTCCTCATTTACTGCCAAAGATAATCATTCCCAAAATGAAATAATTGTTCTATGGAAAATCAATAGATCAGTTATTAGTGAGAAATCCTCAGCCAGAATGATACAGTACTACTGTAAGTTACAGGGTTAAAGAAGAAACAACTTCAGGGGTGGGAAATGGGTCAAGAACTAAAGAATAGCAACCAGCTGCCTTTAGTTTCCAATATCTTTTACTTGGGCCTTGGTGGAACACATGATTGACACACCAGGAATTACCATACTTTGTAGAAGCAATTGTATGTGTTTTTAGAATGATTTAATTATTTTTTTCCCCCTGATCTATCTCTCTACTGTACATAAATATGGATGTAAGTAGCTCCAGAGTCATTGATTCAGGCTTCTCTAGTTACAGTTCCTGTAACATCAGCTTAAGCCCAATTACGGCAGATTTGGTTGCTCTAGGTCTCTCCAGAGTCCCTTTTCTGTTTTTATTCTCCGCTCCTCAGTGTAGGAGGCTTTTTAATTTTGAGGAGAGTATCGTAGCATATTCCCTCCTTATTACAGCCAAAGCCGGCGCGAAAACCGCACCGTTAATGCTTTAATTAAAAATGGAATCATATCTCGGTGAGGGAATTGAAAGGGAAACCGTTTTTTTGGTTAGCTCATTTGTTTGTTTGTTTTGTTGTCTCTTTTTTCCCCCTTTGCACGTCTGAGAAACCATCTGCATGGAACATAATTTTGCCGAAGCCAGGAACATCGGAACTGTGATCTTGCATGTCAAGTGATCCATCTTAATTAAAAAAACAGAGGGAATGGAAAATAATAGAGAAACAGGCCGAAGACATTCCGCACACTCCAAAAGTCCCACTTCTTAAATATGTCTTTGTTGCTACCTATCAGTGCCACGTACATAGTTCTGTGCATATAGAGGCCATATATATAAATATGAATAAAGTCCTTAAAGAGAGTCTGGCCCTCTCCATTGCAACACACACAGCCTCATCTCCTACTTTGCAAGTTGGCTCCTGCGCTTTGCAGCTTTTTCCAGAGCAATAGTGACTTGATTTTGTGACTATTTAAATAAACACCAATCTGTTGCCGTGCGTTTTGTCCCTTGGCAGAGGTTCACCAGCAAGCAAGACGTGATCAGGCACTACAATATGCACAAGAAGAGGGACAACTCCCTGCAGCATGGCTTCATGCGCTTCAGCCCACTGGACGACTGTAGCGTCTACTACCATGGCTGCCACCTCAACGGGAAGAGCACCCACTACCACTGCATGCAGGTAAACACATATGCACACATACACTCTTACACACACACTCGAAAGATATGCTTATGTAAAGGACATCACGCTGCTTGCTTAGCCAGTACCATTTCCTCCTGATTCGGCTCCCACCGAGGCTGGAACCCAGGACTTCTGCTTTGCTAGAACACGTGACCGCCCTCCTGAAGCATCTTACCAGTCGGCGCCACGCGAAAAGCTAGCTATTTGCTTGCGCAAGTGGGGACACTTCAGGCTGAGGAGTAAGTTTCACACATCCCAATGTGCTACATTCATCCCTCAAACGTACTCAACAGCGACCTCAGTGCAACTTTAAATCCCGTTCACGGCACAACTATAAAGGACGTCACACTGCTTGCTTAGCCAGTACCACTAACTCCTGATTCGGCTCACAACAAGATTCGAACCCAGGACCTCTGCTTTGCTAGCACATGTGACCGCCCTCCTGAAGTGTCTTACCAGTCGGCGCAATGCGAAAATATAGTTATTCGCTGGCGCAATTGGGGACACTTAAGGAGTAAGTTTCACACATCCCAATGTGCTACACTTACAAACACATATACACACTCTTGTTTCACACACCAATACGGTATACACACATGCACACACAAACACATACACACACACATATGGGCACTCCGCCACACACATTACAGACCCATGACCATTGCCACCTATGGAGATCTGAGGCTTCTTGTGAAATAGGATTTTGCAGAGTCATGCATAATTCCTTGATGTTGCATTCCAGAGCCACACACCACAGTACCGGATATACGGTACATACTGGAGTCATTTTCCTTGGATTGGCTATTATTACAGTATAAAACAGAATATACTGTAGGTAGGGATACCTAGCTATACAGATTCAGTGTGTCTATGCTTTAAAGGGATAGTTCACCCAAATCTACCAGAAGCCTATAAGGAAAATTATTGTCATTTTATTTCTCCAATAATACCATTTAGGGGAACATTTGGGGTGGCATGGAGGGTATAGCATAAACTCCTCCCACAGAAAACATGAAAAAAGTTGTGAGCAGAGACATGGCCCCCATGCCAAGCCCAGGGAAAACCAGGCCACTCAGGCATGACAAGACGCACACCGATGAGCTCTCCGAGTCTTGAGAGCTCTGCACTCTAACTGCATCTATAAAAGGGAATTACACTTCTTCCACTTTTTCCATTAAGCCCAAATTGCCATTTAAGAGCAGTTTTGGTGCGTTTGACAAAAGGTGTCATAAAGTAAATAAAATAAAAATGAAAGGGATGAACCCACGTCGTTGCAACAGCGGCGGCAGCACTCTTCCCTCCCTCCCCTACTCTCTCCTCGCTCCTTAATTGGCATGGGTAAAAATTCAGTTAGTTGTTTATATAAACTGAAAATTTTTCATCTTTTAGTACCAAGCGACGAGTTGAAGATTATTCCCCCCACCGGATTTGTTTAATTTTTTTCCACATCTGCTTATTTTCAAGGTGTCATCACGCCGAGTGCTTTCTCACCGGCAGGCCAGCAGCCCAGGGCTTGGATGGCCTGAGATATATTCTTTTTTAAACCCCCCTAACGGCGTAATTGTTATTAAGACGTTTCAGCCCTTGTTTTAACAGGCCTGAGAACCTGCAGATGTTGGCATAAGGCACCTCTGATTTAGTGGGGAAAAAACAGAGTGGCATTTTTTTCATTGTTTGACTCAATATGGAGAAGTTGCCCCTTTTGTGCCGGTTAAAAAGTGCCAGGGATGATATACAATTGCTGCTTTTAATTCAAACATTAGCTGTATTTCCCTCCGGGCCCCGAGGGCTCCTGAGTACCAGAACATTTTAAACTAAAGAAAGTGACAATCAACCTGCCCACCTCTTACCCCCCTCCTCTCCTCCAGTTGCTCTGTGAGCTACAGTGAAGTTGCGGTGATTGCACACTGTAGTGCTCCGAATATGAATAGCATCTGCTTAAAATAAAGCCTTAAATGGAAGGTATTTTTTTACCACACACGACCCTGGTAGTTATACCACTGACTCTTGCTCAAGTTTATCACATCGCATTGTTTCAAACAGGGCAGGTTTGCCTTATTTAACTTGACATGATGTTTGATAAGGTCTAACACAGACAAGTAGCCGAACATGAAAAAAAGGCCTCTGTCCGTCTTACCATTTCTAGGTCACCAGAGACTTTCTTACCACATTGAGCTCATTTCTCAACAGAGCCTTTCTCAGTTCTCTTAATGGTCCCGCTGTGAAAAAGTCTGACTTATTCAGTGTTCCAAACCACTGCTATTTGAACTAACAAAAACAATGTGAATCAATGCTAGGTTGCCTCTTAAAAATTGATGTCAGAGATTGATTCATTGATGTCAATAAAGTTGAACGTTTGTCTCCACACCTCTTTTAGGTCGTTATGGTAACAAATGATGTTCTCAATAACCTACCTGGTTAAGTAAAGAATAAGTTGATGAATGAATCATTAATATGTCGATTTATTTGCCTATTACTGAAAAGCTCCAACCCCACACTCCCCTCTCTATCTGCAGGTGGGCTGCAACAAGGTATACACCAGCACCTCCGATGTCATGACTCATGAGAACTTCCATAAGAAAAACGCCCAGCTGATCAATGACGGCTTTCAGAGGTTCCGCGCCACCGAGGATTGTGGGACGGTGGAGTGCCAATTCTACGGGCAGAAGACCACCCACTTCCACTGCAGGTCAGGAGATCAGAACACAAGGGTTCCCTCAGTAATAGAGATAGAGATTGTATTTATAGGTGTCTCTTTTCACCAGGTCTCAAAGCTATTTGAGTTTAACTCACGCCAGCCACTTTGTTTAATGTGTGCATCCATGATGGCTGTAGTTTGTATCTGCTTCATACTATGAGTTCGATGAGCTGGGAGGCTCCACATAAAAAAATTGGATTGTAATAATTGAGATTGAAATTGAAAACATGTTTGGTTTTGTCAAACAGTAATTTGGAATGGATCCTTAGCTGGCACAGTTTAAAGCCCCTCTGGTAAATTGTGAAAGCGGTGACATGTCAATAGGGTTTTATTGTGTCACCTTCCTCCATTATGAAGTATTTTGATTTTGTGGCTTCAATCCACGACTGTCCCAAAAACTTTTCCACTATACTGAAAGGTCCTTGTAACTTAGCATCTTAGGTGACATCTTTTCAACTTTTCTCCCTGCTTCCCTCCCTCCCTCCTTCCCCAGGCGCCCGGGGTGCACCTTCACCTTCAAGAACAAGTGCGACATTGAGAAGCACAAGAGCTACCACATCAAGGATGACGCGTATGCTAAGGACGGCTTCAAGAAGTTCTACAAGTATGAGGAGTGCAAGTACGAGGGCTGTGTCTACAGCAAGGCCACCAACCACTTCCACTGCATCCGCTCCAGCTGTGGCTTCACCTTCACCTCCACCAGCCAGATGACCTCCCACAAGCGCAAGCACGAGCGCCGCCACATCCGCTCCTCGGGTGTCATGGGCCTCTCCTCGGGCGGCTCCTTCCTGATGCCCAAGGAGGAACCCGGGGACGAGTCGAGCAACGACGACCTCATGGACTTCTCGGCCATCAGCAGCAAGAACTCCAGCCTGAGCGCCTCGCCCACCACCCAGCAGTCGTCCAATGGGCCCGGCACTCACCTGCTTGCCACACCCACCACGGTGATGTCGTCCTCCGGCGGTGGCCACGGCGGCCTCAAGCCCACCTCCTCGCTGCCGCACTCGGCACGCATGTCAAGCCTGCTGTCCCAGGCGCTGCCCAGCAACATGCCTGTGGCACTGGCGCTGTCCAACAGCGCCCTCGCCGGTGTCAACAACCCCTTCTTCCCGCTCATGCCCCGGCTGCCCATGCAGCTGCCCCATTCGGCCGCCAGCCTGATCTCGGCTGTGTCGTCTGGTGCCCACTCCATGCCCACCGACTCACTGTCCCAGGGCGGCTGCTCCTCGGCGGGCGGCGATGGCGCCATGGCATCCACGCCGACCTCCTACGCCTCGGCCTCTTCCATCATGGAGAAGATCTCGGCTAGCAAGGGCCTCATATCCCCAATGATGGCCAGGCTGGCAGCGGCTGCCCTCAAGCCCTCTGGCAACCACCAAGACACAGGTGGGTGATTTCAAAAATGGTATTCATTGTCCATGGTGTCCCATGTGGCTCAGGTGTTAGAGCATGGTGCTTGCAATGCTGGGGTTTTGGGTTCGATTCCCACGGGTGACCAGTACGAAAAATGTATGCACTTACTGTAAGTCGCTCTGGATAAGAGCGTCTGCTAAAATGTAAATATTTATTGTCTATACAATTTACATCTATGGTAAAGGAATGTGAGATGGCTCAACACATTATTACACAGCTTGTTGTAATAGTAGCTATGCACTAGTATATGTCGGACATTTTATTTTTCTCTTTGCATTTATACCTCTTTTTTGGGGGGGTTGAGCTAGCTACTGCACAATTCTTTCTTCACGACATGCTACCATAATGGGGGGAAGACGCAACCCCCACTCCCCAAACCCCCCCAAACATTAGTGTGGAGTCTAAAAGCGAGAGCTAAAAGAGTGCACACTTAGGTCACCTAACCAATATCACTGGCCCACGGTGGAGGTCACCTAACCAATATCACTGGCCCACGGTGGCGGTCACCTAACCAATATCACTGGCCCACGGTGGAGGTCACCTAACCAATATCACTGGCCCACGGTGGAGGTCACCTAACCAATATCACTGGCCCACGGTGGAGGTCACCTAACCAATATCACTGGCCCACGGTGGAGGTCACCTAACCAATATCACTGGCCCACGGTGGAGGTCACCTAACCAATATCACTGGCCCACGGTGGAGGTCACCTAACCAATATCACTGGCCCACGGTGGAGGTCACCTAACCAATATCACTGGCCCACGGTGGAGGAGAATGTAGCAGTCACAAACTGCTCGTTCTAGGCTTGAAGGGGCATACTGAAGGCGTGGTTCACTGCTCCACACTTGTTATTGTGCTGATGGTTAGCTAGATACCTGCAATCCATTTGCAGATAAATGCGTTGACAGAGAGGAGAGTGGGCCCTGTAAAAGTATCTTACGGCGTTCGGAGGGGGCTCCTGGGGCTTGTGTTGTACATGTTTCCTCATCAGTGGTCTCTTATCTGTGTGTGCGCTCGTTCCGAGCAAATGGAGGTGGAATGAAATTAAGTTCAGAAATTGCAAGAACAAAAACCTTTTTTTTTCTCTCGCTCTTTCTCTCTCTCTATAAACTGATATAAAAACAGAAATTGCTCAGGCAGAAATGACTCAGTGCACCAGAGCTTTCAGAGAGAGGGTGGTTTTTTGCAGAATGCAACAGCAGACACATACAAACACACACACACACACAGGCACGGGCACACACACAGTGACACACATACAATTTGTGCTCACAAACAACAACCTCATTGGCATGCATGCATACTCCAAAACACACACGCACACAGTGCACACACACACGCACACACACACACACATTCACACACTATTTTGGCTCAGACACAAACAACCACTACTCATTACAAAAATAGCAAATAGAGTAAATAAAGATGTCTAAACGACAATAAAACAGTCTCACACTGTCACAACTGAGCAAAAAGAAAACGGGGCTACAGTCCCGAGCTGAGACTTTAGCAGGTGGGGTGCGGATTGGAAAATTGGGCTAAGACAGGAGAGCGTCTCCGCATGCCGGTGGGTTGGAGGATTAGTTGCCTGGTGGTGTTGTTGGAGAAGGACGGGGCCCTGGGAGAGAGCAGGGCAGCTGCTCGGGGGAGGTGTGATCAGGCAGCACAGGCTGTCAGTCGGAGCTCCACCTCTGGGCCTCCAGGCAGCAGGTAACAGGGGGAGAGAGAGATTGAGAGATAGAGGGCCTGACGGGGAAGAAGGGCCTCCTCAGATGGTGCTGGCTCCCATTCCGTCTCTCCACTGCGCCAGAACACGAGGGGAGCTCAGCACACACAGGGCTCCTCGCACAGAAAACAAGTATGCTGTTTCGTTCACTTTTTTAAACAGCAGAAATAGAGAATATAGACGTTTTCAGAGGCACTTAGGGGGTTAGGTTTTCTCTGAAGTTTCACTTATTGTTCGCAAAATATGTGTGTGAACAGGACATTTGGGCTAAATTGAAGAGGAAGTGGTTATGGCTCACAGTGTCAAAAAGGTTTGAGAAACAGTTCAGCGTTTGGCTATTTTTAGATGTTTTCTTTGTTTTGTTTTTACGGGGCCTATCTCTTCAGTGGTAAACTAGAATGTCTTCTTTTTTCATGGGTTCAGTATAGACTGCTTTTTATCAGTGTTTCTCACCAGTTTACCCCTAAAAAAAATAATATCTTAAAGATCCAGGCCTCTGAAGGGTTTACTAATTAGACACAGAGTGAAAATGATCTTTCACGAGCTCTGTAACTTAGCCGGAGTAATTACATTGTGGTACGTTATTCCTGGAGAACATCCTGAAAAAACACAGCGTTGAAATCTACTCATTTTCTTCCTCCTTTTTTTTGTGGCAAGAATCTTTGCCGAGATCTCTAAGCTCAAGCAAGATGTGTATGATGTACTAATATATTTTTATTTTGATGAACATTCACTACTACATTTTCTATGATGTGTTTAACTGAATGTCTATGTGTAGGTCACGTATTCAAACGTTGTCCTCGATATGATGTGCTCTCATCTGGTCTTTGGCTTGATGTAATGTCCAATGACAATTTGTCTGGCAAGTTAATCATTGGGTTTCTTTTTTGGGGGAGTGGGGGTGTAGTGACCATACAATGACCTCACCCCAGCCACAAAACGGCCTCTCTTCGACCCCCTCCTCCTCGTTTCCCAGTCCCCCCCCCACCACCACACCATTGTCAGCTTAAAATGCTATGACACTGACACATCCCCATCTCCGTCCCTTAGCTTTGAGCTGACAAGGCCCAAGACTGGCTTTTCCACTCGCATTGCCTTTGATATGTCTCTGGGTCATCTTCTAGCCAGGGACACTGGTTCCAACTTCCCACTCACATAGCTGCTTTCTTGCAGGGCACATAGTTGGCCCTCCGCGACCTTGCCTGTCACAATACGTCACTACCAGTCACTACCAGGCCCTGTTTCCTAAACAACACGGCCCCACACGATACCAATCACTGCCGATGCACTCACTCAGCACACAGGCCTAAAAGCCCATGCCAGGCACTCCTTCGCTCTCTTTCTTTCCTCTTCTTTGAATAAAATACCACTTACTGTCTACCCAAAGCCCGGCTTTCTCTATATAGCCCGAGGAGAAATTAATATTTCAATCACTTGGGGATTGAGGGGAAAAAAGCTCACCTTCCTGTCAGCAGTCTTTGCCCCCGCCCCGCCTCTCGTCTTTATTTATTTATTTATTTATTTATTTATTTATCATCCCGTTGCTGTCCTCACTCACGACATCATCTGCTGAATACCTATTCGGAGGAGAATCCGATCTGGAGGTCACGCTATTTGAACTGATCTGATTGGCTGTCAGCTCCAATCTGACCGACATAGCCCTGTTCTTCTTGGGCATGCTCAGTTGGCATTGGCTGCCTGCCGTTGTCAGGCCAACAAGGACCAGGCAAGGAAGGAAGGGAAGGGAAGGAGGGCGGAGGGGGGAGGGGGGGGCAATCGTAGACTGCCACTTTCTCTCAGCATTAGCATCCGACTTAATGACCAGTTAAGAGGCAGCCTAGCAAATGAGTTGTGACAAGTGCTGCTGAAAAAGGAGTATTTTCCCCTCATATCTCCCGCCTCTCAATCACCATTTAAAGGCCTTGACGGCCTGACATCATTTCGCAATAATTATCACTCTGAGTATTCTTTTCGGCTGGGACAGGAGTCAGATTGGATCTCGTCACAGGGTAATAATGCTGACCAACAATAACTTTGTTGTCGCTCTCTCTCTCTGGCTTCTCCTCAGGGAATGGGCTGGCTGGTTCTTCAGCGAGTCTGTTCAATCTGGTTCAAGTGAAGCAGGAGCCAGTCGACCATACCTCTGGGGCTTCCCAGGACTCCATCCAAGAGCACAGCCTGGACCTGAGCAAAAAAGACCACAGGTAGAGTCACAGGGACACACTCCTAAGGTTTACCCTTAAAAAAACGGGTTTACTCCTAAATGAAGCAATGTTATCTCAATGGGTGTGAGAGCACTTAATAAAAATTATGAAAGTGGGACTGCAGCGTTGCGAAGGGGATGCGATTTGTTCACTAACTCATATTTCTGAAAGCAGTTTTGACCGAATTATGATTATTCATTTATTTTTTATTTCTCAAAAACAACTATGTTATCTCGATTTGCATCTCAATTTATGGCCTCCAACACGTTTCTCCATCTCTCACTGATCTCACGCCACGGATGTTGACATAAACCTTAAACTCCAATCTTCCCTGCAAAATTTTTTAAGAAGTTGTGTTTTTGCTCTTCATTATACATGCACACCCTCCTGTGATAAATAATAATATTTACTGTTCTTATGCAAATCTTGACTAAACATTGTTTATTTTCCTTGTTCCAGTAATGAATCAAACGGACACCCTGTACCGGGAAATACATCTCTTTTATCCTCGCTTATGAATAAGGTAAGATCCATCCATCAAACGCTTTTCATCCCCAAGACAAATTAGCGGGACGCACAGGGCCTCTGTTTGTTTTTTAATGTTTCACTGCTAATAAGATGAGTTTGTACATTTACATTTTCCAGCCATTTTTCATACGGTGTAATTCCACCGTACCTCTCACAAATTAATATAATGAACCAGGAGCTGGGTGCCATGCCAGATATATAGAGATGTTTGTTTTTTGATGAGGTGTTTTGAACTCGACATCCATTTTTTCCCCCTCCTCCTTTCCCCTTTTTCTTCCCCGGCTTCCTATCACTCTATATTTATTCATGGAGTTTGTAAATTATTTGATTAAAAACTCGAGGGGAAAAAGAGAAACAGTCACCCTCATTTTTTAAAAAGAGTAAATGTTTGCTGAGGGATATTTAAATGTGTGATTTTGTGAAGATTGAAATGGACATTGTTTTAATCATACATCTTTTCTGACTAATACAAATGTGCAGGCGTTTCCCATTACCTTGATGATTTAAAGAGTTTTCTGGCTACATTTTTTTGGCAAACAAACTCACTCTACTGGCTAAGGGTTTTTTCTTGCCCTTCTGCTTGTATTCTTGTATCAGGAACACACTCAAACACACTCATGAGTGGTTTCCACAAAGCGGCCGTTGAGGCCTGACGGGAGATGGGCTTGATGATCAGATGTCCTACAGCTCTCCCCTTCATGTAGGCCTTTTGGGGTCCCGTTCCGAGCCACCACATCACATAAAGCACGCACAATCGCTCACAGTGGACACTTGGCATGCGCACTTGGCCTGTGCTCAAGCAGAAGCCGGTTGTTTGTAAACTCGGCTGAGCTTCCGCTCTGCCAAAGTGTGTGTGTGCGCGTGTGTTTGCGTGCGTTTGTGTGTGTACGTGTGTGCACTCCTGTGCGTGTGCGTATACCTATGTACATTCCATGTGTGTGTGTGTGTAGCTGGCGCTCAGCTAACCCTGCCGCCGGCGGTGCTTTATGTGCTGTGTGTTTTGCAGATGAACGCCGGCTTCTTCAGTGCCCTGAACCTGAAGACGGAGATGGAGATTGGCCAAGGGGCAGACACCTCAGAGGCAGCGCAGTACCTGAGCCGCATCATGAAGAGGCCCATGCCAGACAAACCCAGCGAGCTCTGGAGGACATATCTGCGCAGGTACTTAAAATGCTCAAGAACTTAGATTTACTTACTAAGGGCCAGTTGCCTGGACACAGATTAAAGCTATTTCAATTAAGATTCTGCTTTAAGTATGTTTTTTAGTCCAGGACTAGGCCCTTAGATCAGTTAAGTGGAGATGAACCTCTCAGATAGTATAATGCTTCAGAGGGGTAAAATGCTTGTCATTGTATTGATTTTATTATTTTCCCCTTTTTGTATTATATATCTTTTTTAATACTAATTGTATCTCTTCTCTGTTTTTCTGCTGGGTCAAGGTTCGACACGGAGGACTTCTGCGAGGCCCAGTGTGACTTCCTGCAGAAGGTCCACTTCCACTGTCTAGTGGAGGACTGCGGGGCGCTCTTCAGCACGGTGGACGGAGCCATTAAACACGCCAAGTGAGTGTGGTGGCACTGCACCAGAAGACTAGTCCATATGATACACTGTGCCATAGGCATGTGTCTTCTGGCTGTGCAGATTCAGAATCAGCCATAGGTCTCATGCTTCTTAATGGTCAACCCAACCCATGTTGATACAATAAAACAAACATACTGTACAGTGGGGAAAAAAAGTATTTAGTCAGCCACCAATTGTGCAAGTTCTCCCACTTAAAAAGATGAGAGAGGCCTGTAATTTTCATCATAGGTACACATCAACTATGCCAGACAAAATGAGAAAATCAAATCCAGAAAATCAAATTGTAGGATTTTTAATGAATTTATTTGCAAATTATGGTGGAAAATAAGTATTTGGTCAATAACAAAAGTTTCTCAATACTTTGTTATATACCCTTTGTTGGCAATGACACAGGTCAAACGTTTTCTGTAAGTCTTCACAAGGTTTTCACACACCGTTGCTGGTATTTTGGCCCATTCCTCCATGCAGATCTCCTCTAGAGCAGTGATGTTTTGGGGCTGTCGCTGGGCAACACGGACTTTCAACTCCCTCCAAAGATTTTCTATGGGGTTGAGATCTGGAGACTGGCTAGGCCACTCCAGGACCTTGAAATGTTTCTTACGAAGCCACTCCTTCGTTGCCCGGGCGGTGTGTTTGGGATCATTGTCATGCTGAAAGACCCAGCCACGTTTCATCTTCAATGCCCTTGCTGATGGAAGGAGGTTTTCACTCAAAATCTCACAATACATGGCCCCATTAATTCTTTCCTTTACACGGATCAGTCGTCCTGGTCCCTTTGCAGAAAAACAGCCCCAAAGCATGATGTTTCCACCCCCATGCTTCACAGTAGGTATGGTGATCTTTGGATGCAACTCAGCATTCTTTGTCCTCCAAACACGACGAGTTGAGTTTTTACCAAAAAGTTTTGGTTTCATCTGACCATATGACATTCTCCCAATCCTCTTCTGGATCATCCAAACGCACTCTAGCAAACTTCAGACAGGCCTGGACATGTACTGGCTTAAGCAGGGGGACACGTCTGGCACTGCAGGATTTGAGTCCCTGGCGGCGTAGTGTGTTACTGATGGTAGGCTTTGTTACTTTGGTCCCAGCTCTCTGCAGGTCATTCACTAGGTTCCCCCGTGTGGTTCTGGGATTTTTGCTCACCGTTCTTGTGATCATTTTGACCTCACGGGGTGAGATCTTGCGTGGAGCCCCAGATCGAGGGAGATTATCAGTGGTCTTGTATGTCTTCCATTTCCTAATAATTGCTCCCACAGTTGATTTCTTCAAACCAAGCTGCTTACCTATTGCAGATTCAGTCTTCCCAGCCTGGTGCAGGTCTACAATTTTGTTTCTGGTGTCCTTTGACAGCTCTTTGGTCTTGGCCATAGTGGAGTTTGGAGTGTGACTGTTTGAGGTTGTGGACAGGTGTCTTTTATACTGATAACAAGTTCAAACAGGTGCCATTAATATAGGTAACGAGTGGAGGACAGAGGAGCCTCTTAAAGAAGAAGTTACAGGTCTGTGAGAGCCAGAAATCTTGCTTGTTTGTAGGTGACCAAATACTTATTTTCCACCATAATTTGCAAATAAATTCATTAAAAATCCTACAATGTGATTTTCTGGAATTTTTTTCTCAATTTGTCTGTCATAGTTGACGTGTACCTATGATGAAAATTACAGGCCTCTCTCATCTTTTTAAGTGGGAGAACTTGCACAATTGGTGGCTGACTAAATACTTTTTTCCCCCACTGTATATTCAATGAGGCAAAAGTCTTTGATCATGTTGATCATTATAGTCTTGGTTGTTTATTACAGTCCATTGTGTAAAAGCCATTTTGTTTAAAAAGCTTTATACAAATGTTAAGCCGATAATTAGAGTCGATGACTGAATGAAAGCTCTAACTTAGCGTGTCCCCACCATGTCCATCTGTCCAGCTTCCACCTACGAGCCACGCTGAAGGTGAAATCGGAGCCTCACTTCAACAAAGTCAAGGACTGCGGCGACAGAGCATCCCACCAGTCCACCGCCCCAGTCTCCATGGCCAACAACCCCCCCATGGACGTGGCCAACATGTCATCATCGTCAGGCGGTGGCTATGGCTCCTCGCCCTCCCTGCTGGCATGGAAGCAGCTGACGGGCAGCATCCCCCAGCTCAATGCCTCCATGCCTAACCTGCCTGCCAACTCGCCGCTGGCCACCACCTCTCTGGAGAACGCCAAGCCGCAGGTCAAACCAGGCTTCCTGCAGTTCCAGGACAAGTAAGGGACCGTGAGACTCGTAATAAACACGCATGGAACACTTTGACTTGAGCGCCTTTATTGAACACGTTCAGGCAAAATCATTGACCACTGACATGACAAGTTTTATTTTTATTAGGCTACATAAAAAATGTAATTATAAAATGAAAGAATGTTTTAAGAATCGTAGGTTTAAGCAATGTAGGTTGTTATGACCTGTCATGGCAATATACTTTAAATTAAATGTTATAGATACATGGATTTTGATATTCTTGGACTTTGGAGATCCTGTATTCCAGGGCTATTCAACTACCAGCCCTCGAGTGCCAAAGTACGGCTGGTGTTCCTATCCACCTGGTAGTTCATTCATCTGGTATAACTAATAATTATATAATTGATTGGTCAGAGAGTCAACTCACCTGGCGTCCCAGGTCCCTGATTAGACGGACAGAATGAAAACCAGAAGCGATTCATCCCTCCATGACCGTAGTACAGAAGCCCTGTCCTATTCTGTTTAGAAAAAGGTATTGAACATACCCCCCTTTCTTTTATGTTTTTTGTTCATACAGTGACCCTTGCCTGGCCACTGACTGTAAGTACTCCAACAAGGTCCACTTCCACTGTCTCTTCGGGAACTGCAAGTATGTCTGCAAGACCTCAGGGAAGGCCGAATCCCACTGCTTGGACCACATCAACCCTAACAACCACCTGGTCAACGTTCGAGACCAGTTCTCCTACTTCTCCCTCCAGTGTCTATGTCCCAACCAGGTAGGTCCCCACCTGCTCACTCCAAGCACCAGCAAACTACTGTCATATCATCAAGTTTTCTAACCATGAATATACAATCTATTAGACCCGTATTTGAGGTGATTTAACTCGAGTCTTTCCGAATCGCTCCTCGTCTGTCTTCTGTCTGCTTGGAGACGACAGTCGACTCACCCCGTAATGTCTGTTTATATGTCAATGATGTCATTTTGACTGCCGCATTCTCCCCTCAGAAAAGGCCAATTTAGCTGATATTACCCAATAAATCATTGTCAGCCGCACAATAAACAAGGCTGTCTTGAATAGGGCAAAATCTGGAAAATGTTTCTCAAATTAAACCCTTTAATGGAGGCTCCTGCCTGCCTCTCGTGAGCCGATATTTGGAGGATTTTTTTGTAAATGAATGAATTCATTAATAATGTGTCTAAAATCATCCTCTCACTTAGTGTCCTCCCTCCACCTCCACTTCCTCCCCTCCCTCCCTCTATCCACCTGAACAGAGATAATCCTATTTAGCCTGGTTCCTATGGGACACACAGGCCAGAAACAGATGGTGGTGTGGAGACAAGTTAAAAAGGGAGGGGTGGGTTAGAGAGGAAAAAAGGTATTTGCTAGACCGATCCTTCCAAATGTATAAGTGTCAAGTTAGTGTTAGTGTCAAGGTGTGAATTGTTGGTGGTGTAAAGTAATATAGATGTCCATTTGAGCAATCACCAGCACGCCAAAATCTGTTTATTGTAGGACTGTAGTAACTATAAATAAAAATTGGAAAGTTAGTTGATCAGATATCAGACCAGAAACTGGTTGGGAATTCAACAAGCTTATCGCTCAACATGTTGTTCTGTAGTTAATGAATCCATAATTTGTATCCACAAGTCAAGTCGATCATCAGCAACTTAGGTTTAAAGTCATTGTTCTAGCCTGTTTCCCAGTCTTACATTGGATTGACCCCCTCTGTCTCTCTGCCTTCCTTCCTCCAGCACTGTGAGTTCAGAATGAGGGGCCATTACCACTGTCTGCGACCCGGCTGCTACTTTGTCACCAACATCACCACCAAGCTTCCCTGGCATGTCAAGAAGCATGAGAAGGCAGAGAGACGCGCCGCCAACGGCTTCAAATACTTCACCAAGAGAGAGGAGTGTGGCAGGCTAGGTAAGCTTTCAGTTTAAACTAGTCTCTTTGTCTCGCTCTCTCTTTTTCTTTCTCACTGCTAGGCCAGTGAGAGATGTAAGGGTTAAGGGTGTGAAATCAAGAGAGATGTAATGATGTTTCCACATTGATTTTCAGTGGACGCTGCGAGCAGATATTCTCTCTGTGCGCCTCAACTGTCACAGAGAGAGCTACTCCCAATCCTGGCAAATGTTTTGTCACACTATCGCAGAGCAGTTCACATGGCATAAAACAAGTCTGGCTCGTACTGAACTTTTTGTGCAATGTTTTGCATAGGCACTATGAATGTGAAACCTTATTTTCCTAGTGATTACATTGTTGGCACTGTAACATATCTTTCTCTTATAACTTAAATGTCTGGTTATATGTTACACTAGACTTGAATGCATATGTATATATTTATAAGGGACAAACACACTAAGGTTGTTTTATCTTTTTGCCTGTCAGAAATGAGCAATTACATACTTGTTTGTGTGTGCTATGTGCTTTTCTCAGCCACCCCTCATCATCATTCCCAAATGATTTTAGAAGTAATCTCTTATTTCTGGCTGTTCTAACACAAATGAAAAAGACAAAAAGGTATTGTATTGTTCGGTTTCGGAAAAGTAAAAGGGATTACTAAAGCAAGCACCCAAGTTATAAAAAATGGATGGGTTTAGTGGTATCCATGGCAGCAACATTCAACTGAACACGGCCGATTATGTTACCTGGATGGGTCTCATAAAGGCCCTCGACGTCGCAGTGGTTACAGTTATTGACTCAACTTTGCATGGTTAAAGTATATGTGCAGTGTTACTGTGTACAAAAGCTATTGTTTTGTGCACCTGGTCCCATGGTTACTGACATGCTAGCGCCTGCCCAGCATTTTACTCTTTCAATTATTTCTGCCTGCTTTTATATAATGATATTTGGAGGAACCAACATTTAATTTGAAATCATAAAGCAATTCGAAAATGGCTCCCTAAAAGTGAGGAAAATAATAAAAGAGGAAGAATCCGACAACATCACAATAGTGCCATGGCACAAAAAAAGAAAAAAGAAAAGACAACAATGCCACAATTTTGAAAAATGAATTTAATATGGCAATAATTGTATATTTACTTTGGTTTGCAGGGGTGTGTGCATTATTGGCCTACACTGCATATGAGAATGTATTTATGTAAATTCCTAATTGAATAAAGGATGTCACTGTAATAAAAGAGCTCCACAGGTTTAGTCCATGGCAGCCTAGACTGGCTCAGTGTGACACTGGAGTCATCTAATCTAATATGCCTCCTACATATACATTTGTTTTTGTCCCGGCTATGTTATGATGCTGAATCTAAACCAGAGTAGAGCTTCTTAAAAATGGGATTTTACCAGGTATTCAGAGCGGGTCGTAAGCTTTAGTTAGAGGACGTCTTTATCAGGACACTTACACTTTTATTTTTTTCAGCTGCTTTGAATTGTAGTTTGGGTGATTCTCCGAAATGTGCCAGGCTACACCAAATTCATATGTGAAAACATCACATTTCTCACATACTATTGAGTTCAACTCTGTGAAAACGTCATATATAAAAATGTCAATTTCTTCACCTTGTGATTGAAACCGTGTACTTGTCTCTTTGCAGGCTGCAAGTACAACCAGGTGAACAGTCACTTCCACTGCATCCGTGAGAGCTGCCAGTTCTCCTTCCTGCTCAAGCACCAGATGACCTCGCACTCCCGCAAACACATGAGGAGGATGCTGGGAAAGAACTTCGACAGGGTTCCGTCCCAGGTAACGAACACAGTGTGTGTGTGTGCCACATAATGTTCTGAACAGTGTAATTATTAAGAAAAATATGTGGGGAGTTTCCATAGAACCATTGCCGGTGATAGTTTGCATATTGAAAGTATGCAAAAACACGCAGTTCCTCACACACCCTTTCACTGAAAAATGTGACTGTGGCAACACGTGTCATAAAGATTTGTGTTTTATCATTTTCCATTGTGCTTCCTGTTTCCATCATTTTCCATTGTGCTTCCTGATGGATAATGAGTAATGAACACCTTTGGTGACACTGTGCATTTTTTATTTGTTTTAACCTTGATGTTACAGTAAATCTATGAGATTTGTGTCAATCTCAAAAAAGTATAATGGAGGTACATTTTTTTCACTGAAAGTGTCTCTAAAGAACTGGGTTTTTACATACTTGCAATATGCAAACCACCACCAGCAATGTCATTGTTATATCAGTACTCTATGTTGATGTAGTGCCAGTATACGAATGCCTGACAGTTGGTGCCCCGTGAGAGGAGAATATCTTACATAAATGGGGAATCCCAACATTTTTATATATCAATAAATATAGTGTTTAATAAAGAAGAATCCTGTGTGAGGAACATTCCCTACAATATGTATTCCTGACATAGCTGTGTGTCCCCCCTGTGTGGCCCTCTATAGGTGGTGTCCCATGGCCAGAGGTCTGATGACATGCAGCACTTGTCGGGCATGGGCTCGGGCCTCATGGGCAGCCACCCGGGGATGACCACTGGGTTCTCCAGCATGATGGACGAGACGGATGACTACATGGACTACATGGGCGGGGGTAGCCCTCTGTGCCTCTCCTCTGAGTCCTCCAATCAGGACCGCAGCTGCAGCAGCACCCCCGTGGGCAATGAGAGCTCCCCAGCAGGTGAGTTGAGGAGCGGGGGCAGGATATAGAGGCTAGGGTTAGCAAGGTTGGTTGAGGAGTGAGTATTGACATTGTGGCCATAGTAACTTGCATAAGGATGCATACTGTAGAGTTGATAACAAGAAAAACAATGGATTTATGGACAGTGTTGTTTAGTGAAATGATGGCGATATTGTTTTATTTCAGTAAAAAGTAAATTGTCTATCAAGTTAAAGAAGCAAGTAAAACTTGGTTATGAAGTTAGAATGAAGTAGTGTTTTTGTATTGTAAATCCAGCGTAATTTACAGTACCATTAGAACACACAGGACACAGCCATGTCAATTCATGTCCATATCTCATCAAAATCATAATTTCCTGATTTAGTAGTGAATTCCATTTTTACAAATACTATTTCAAACAATAAGAAGAGTGGGAAACCAATCAAAATCCATAAAGTAAATGTTCCCCCTTTCTCTTATTCTGAGGCCATTTATTTTATATTATTCATTTTCTACAGTAATGACTTAAATTATGGCAATGTAAGTTTGATATAGAAGACTACATTTCCCTTTTACCTGAAAGCTATCCCTGTGGCAACAAACTTCTCAGATTCTCTGCTTTTCAAAATCTGATCTTGCCTTCATCAAATGAGTTTCACATTTCCATTATTTTGTGTCAAATGTTATCCACCATTTTCATCATTGTTGCTTTGGCTGGTGTTTGCTTTCTTGATTCGGCTTCATTTTGTATCATTCTCTTATCTTTTCCCTTTTTCCCTTCCATCCCTGTGTGTGTGAATGGGTCTGTGTGTGTGAATGGGTCTGTGTGTGTGAATGGGTCTGTGTGTGTTTGCGTTTACCCGTCTGTCTGTTTCCCTTCCCGTCCTTCTACACTTCCTGGTCATCCTGTCTTTCCAGGACCAGGCTGCCCGGTCACTACTGCTCCCTCTATCCCCGCTGACACAAGCACTCCCCAAAATGCACCTCCTCCACCACCTCCTCAGCCTGGACTCCAGTCTCAGGCTCCATCTTTCCCTCCTGCCCTCCTCCGACCTCCTCTTCCCTCGCTCCCATACCTCGTCTCTCCATCCTGTCTGTCATACTCTCTGCTCAGCGCCTCTCTCGGAGCCACTCGGAGTGTTGTCATGCCAACCAACACACCAGCTTTCAGCCCCATCATTGCCACTCCGTCTCCGGTTAAAAATGACGTCCCTATAGTGCAGGATGCTGCAGGTACTTATCCCGACGCAAACCAACATTGTAGCTGTCAGTGTCAATTGGTGTAGATGTAGTCTACTTCAGTGTGTACTTGTTTGATCCAATATGACTTCTCAAAATTGTTGTTGAAGCTTGGGAGAAAGTCAATGGGGAAAGTCACCATGCAAACATTATTTGGGAAAACTGTGAAAAAGTGAACATTTGGGAAAAGGTCTGTAAGCCTGAAGAGGTCAGGATATAGGGTCTAGATGAGACATAGACATGTTTCTGTTTGTTTAATCTTTATTTTCCATTTTAGCCATTCACTTATTCTCATGGAGCTTGGTCTTACGTCCCCATTACGCGCAGGTTATGCACAGTATTCCCCTTTGGTATTTACAAGGCTGTGGAAACAGCACCGTAAATTCAGCACCTGTAGTCCAAAGCCGCGGTCTTGTTTAGCCTCCATTAACGGGCAACGCATCAGCCGCCTCTTATTTTAATCGTGCCCCCAGTTTTATCGAGGCCCCTGCTTCCTGTCGAGTCGAACAGGGATCACATCATTAGCAGTGACTCCAGGGGACTCGGCAAGGTGGGCTACCCCTCGTAAACCAAAGGCAGATAAGAGGGACCGCCAAGATCCACATCTCTGCCACTGTTTGGAGGCTGTAGACACCCAGTAAAAATGTAAAGTACCGATTAGCAGCAAAGTCAATCTATCATTTATCCCCCCCCTTCTTAGTCGATAATTTGTAAAGACAAAAAAATATATACAATTGGGAATGTAGGACAGCCTCTCGGAGATTCCGCAAAGGAAGATCTCCCCTTGATCCAGCTTGTTTAGTGTGCTGTACCACTAAAAGCTGATCAGTTGTGGAGTCCTAATATTCTTTCCTCTCTCTGTAGGCAACACCATCTCCATCCCTACGGCCACCGGCGCCAAGAAACGCTTCTGGATCATCGAGGACATGTCCCCCTTCGGCAAGCGGCGCAAGACGGCTTCTGCGCGCAAAATGCTGGACGAGGGCATGATGCTGGAGGGCTTCCGCCGTTATGACCTGTACGAGGACTGCAAGGACTCCGGCTGCCAGTTCTCCCTGAAAGTGACCCACTACCACTGCACCCGCGAGAACTGCGGCTACAAGTTCTGCGGCCGCACGCACATGTACAAGCATGCGCAGCACCACGACCGCGTGGACAACCTGGTCCTGGACGACTTCAAGCGTTTCAAGTCCTCGGTCAGCTGCAACTTTTCCGACTGCCAGTTCTCCGGCAACAGCACCCACTTCCACTGCCTGCGCTGCAGCTTCCGCTGCACGGACAGCACCAAGGTGACAGCCCACCGCAAACACCATGGCAAGCAGGATGTGATCAGCGCCGCCGGCTTCTGCCAATTCAGCTCCAGCGCTGACTGCGAGGTTGCCGACTGCAAGTACAAGCTCAAGTGCTCACACTTTCACTGCACCTACCCCGAGTGCAAGCACACTGTGGTGGGTATGTCCCAGATGGACTCCCACAAGCGCAAGCACGAGAAGCAGGAGCGCGGCGAGCTGCCATCAGTGTCTCCCCGCCAGGAGGGGGCACACCATATGGGGGGAGGAGTGTCCGCAGTGCCCCACGCCTCCATGGGCCTTCCTCCAGGCTCTCCCGGTGGCCTCCCAGGACTCTCCCACCACCACCATCACCACCATAACAACAACAACCATGCCCCCTCCATGCTCTACCCCCCAGCCAGCGTGGCCTCTGACTACAACCACCCCTATCCAACCTCTTTGGTAAGTCTGGACAGTTCTCTCAACCTGGGCACCGACACCAGCAGCTCCCTGTTCTTCCTGAAGAACGCCGCTGGCCTGGGCCTCAACGACTCGCTGGACCTGAGCAAAAAGATGCAGCATCACCATGACCCGAGCCTGACCACGGCTGCTGGGCCCAACCCTATGCCGCTGCTAAGCCTGCCCGCTCCTCAGGACGACACCACGGGGACATCGGGCGACCCCGAAGATGACCAGTCGCCCGAGGAAGAGGCCAACGCAGAGGAAGATGAGGAGGATGAGGAGGATCTGAACACTGACTCGTACGAAGATTCAATGCCACAGCCCGACGGTGACAACAAGGACAATGACGAGAGTTTTGACACTTCCTTAAACCACACTGACACTTCCCAACTGGAAAAGCAAGAGGCCGACCCATGAAAGATACTATGATACTGAAGAAGAAGAATCCTGTATACTATGAACAAACAAATTAAAGTGGCCTCATTTATCAAGGTTAGGGACACTGCAGATGACAACAAGAAAACAACAACAACAAGAAATTATGGCCCAAAATGATTTATGATGATGTTTACAAGATGACCAACAATATTAATTTAATTATCCATAAAAAAATGAACAGAGAAACAAACAAATTAGGCCCTCTTTTACACGTGGGGCAGCAATGTAAACATTTTACTACACAGCAGTCTTTTTGTGTGCGTGCATGTTTGACTTTAATTTATTTTACTTTTTTGTTTTTACCTTTTTTGTGCGTGGAAAAAACGATAAGAAAAAAAAAATCTCTCTATATAACTATATATGTATGTGTGTGTGAACTTTTATATACAACATAAATTACTGGTGCAGTCTTTACATGAACTGCAGGACCCTTGTTAACAATGAAAGGGAAAGACATCACTGTTAAATTACATTGAGGGAAAGTTCTAAAGCAGAATGTGTTTGAACATTTGATCCTATTTCTGTATTAATATTATTATTACTACTATTATTATTATTACTACATTAAGTGCAGGGGTCTGCATTAGTGTTTTGGCTTGTACCCTTCTCTCTTCATCCTTTGCAAGGTTATTTTTAATTCTCAATGTACATTTTCAAATAGAAGTGACCAGTGACTGTGTCCTCAGTCTCAACTGCAGTTGGGCATAGATCTCTCAGCAAGCATTGCTCTGTGTATGCAGCTACCTGGGAAATTATGTTAAATTCTCACCAAAATCAAGCTTGTGGACATGCAATTGTAAACCTTACCCCCTGTCGAGGAACCTATTAAGTTTGCATATGGATAGTGCACTTTTATATAAACAATGATAGATATTCAAACATATTTAAAGATATTTTTGTTACCATATGCATCATTGCATTACGATTGCGTTATACTTGCATAGTAAAATCAAACAGCTCAGAATATTGATTTAGAACTAGGCGAGGAACCATCATGACTAACTAGCTGGGGGTCTGAATGAACTGACCAGAGAAAAGATGAGTCACTCAGATGCAATGGGGAATGACAGAGGTAGCGTCAGGGAGTGTGTGTTTGTTTGAAATGTACAGACAGAAAGCAAAATGTGTCAATGTTGGACATTTTGTTTTCCATTTACTATGGCTGTGGTTGAGCGCCTATTGTAACGGTTTTATTTAATATTTATGTGACCTTGCAATGAGACATTTTTAGGGTGTTCTAGCACTTTTTAGATTTATCTTCAGAAAAAATATGGCATGCATCTTTTAACAGGGAATTTGCTTTAAGATGTCGTTTTAGTTCACTTTGCTTTGATGCACAAATAGTTGTTAAGTGTGACAAAGAACTGTTGTTCTGTGTTTTATTTAAAGTAAGGACTGATTTTATTTGCTTCTGTGATTGGAGGATTTAAATATGAAATGGGCATGCCCGAGTTATGGTGGCCTAATAACGACACTAATAAGAACTGTGATTTCAATTAATTATTAAAACATGACAATGCTCAGATACTGTAGTACTAAATTATCACACAAAACACGTTAGTCTAACCTATCTTCAGGTTTACTGGGGGGTGAAAATTGTTATGATGAATTATTTCTTGAATATGGCTTTGGAAAAAATAATCATAATATAGGGAATTATGTGTGTAGATTGTTATCCACAAAATATTGTTTAGAGAAGAAAAAAAGTTTGTACAGTATTTTCTTCTGTAAAAAGACTATATATGAACAAAATGCTCTTTGATGAACAGCTTCCTTTAAAAATAAAACAATAAAAGGAGAAATGAATAATAAAAAGTAAAACATTGAAATAACCCCACTATAGTTTGCTTGTGTGTGTGACCTTTTTGAAATATAATTGTTCCCCCCTTAGATTTCTAGAGGAAGTAAGTCAACCTGGTTAGGACCCTTGCCATACTGTAGCACTAAAGGCAGTAGGGTGATTCCGTTTTTTACCTTGACATTTTCAAAGCTAATACAAAAAAAAAAAAACACTGATTTAGACCTACTAATGGATGTTTCTGGTTTATTTAACACTTTGTTTTATTCATTTTTCTGTTTGTCATTTTTGTGTGTGCTTGTAGTTTTTCATTAATTTGATTTTTTTTGTTGACATTTTACTTTGCTGTGGGCATACATGCCTCTCTCACAGGCTGAATTGTCTCCCTGGACTCAAATGCAAGGCAGTGCATCACTTTTTATTTATTTTAGTTTTTCTGACAACATTTTGGGAAAAGCTATTGGGCTGGGAGACATTGTGCACTTGAATACAGTTTATGTGTGTGCCTGTGTGTGTGTAAAATAGCAGGATTTGTAAAAAGTTGAAAATAAAGAAACCATAATTATTATAACGATACATATGTACTGCTTAGTAGTGCTTTAGCCCGATGACGTCTGGGGTCATGTGTTGTGGGGGAAGTCCCAGAGTACTGACACTATCAAAACCTCATGGGGAGAGAGACTAACCCATATACAGTAGCTGGAGCAAGGCATGAGGACAGAGAACTGGTCTCTCTTTCTGTGATAATACTTAGAATCTGGCTAGTCTCTCTCCCCCCGGACAGAGACAGCTAATAGCAGAGAGACCTGTGGAACTGCTGTGGTCGCTTAGAGCTACAAGGCCTCGCTTCATGTGACCTTTCCTCATTCTATTCTTCCAAATGCTTTTGTCCCAGTAGACATTGAAAGTTTGTCCCAGTAGACATTCAAGTGAAACATCTGCATCGTTGCAGATAGCAGAGAATCAACAATATTTGTTGTCAGGCCGCCCAATGAGGGCTCGCCTCTGGTCAGAGATGAACCAATCAGAACCAATACAATTCAGAGTTTGAAATGGGAATAGTCTGGGGGTGAAAGGAGTAATTTGCTGGTGCCAACAAGATGGGTCTCTGTGTCTCTTCACGAAAGGAGGACACTTTTAGTTTCTGGTGAGTTTTTTTTCTTTATGAGCTTTGTGCTGTTAGGTCCCTTCCTCTCGTTCAGTGGCACACAATGACCAGCGCGCAGCTCTGCTGTTGTCTGTCCTCCCTCAGCCTACAGCTGTTGCCGTCTCTCCTCCTCCTCTTCCTTGTGATGTTTCTTTAAATAAAAAACGGGTAAAGGCATCACCATCTGTCAGCCAGCTGGCATCCTGTATATAATCTACCAGAAGGAAAAAAATAAACATGAAAATTATATTACACAAAAACCAGACGGAAACAACCTCCAAATCCTACATAGGCTGCTGCTGAAACGACAGATTGCTTTACCGTTTTAATTAACGGAGAAAAAGATGACAAGAAAACAGACAGAAAAACTAAATGAGATGTCTTTTCTCTGTTGGTGTAATAATGTATTAAAAAAGCAGTGAACTACTACGGCTTGGTGTTAGACAAGTAGAGAACGGTTGTAAAATATGTTGCACTCCAGGACTAAAAGCCATCTCTAGCTCGTTTTCTGTTGGGTTTTATTTCACAACCACACAGGGAGACAAATCAGACATTTTGTATGAAAAGTAGACGAAGTTAATGAAAAAGTATTTTAAATGACTTGAATTTGCTGCCCTCTGCACTGGTGTTCATAACTGCATATTTACCACTTGGATTTAGTGCTGTTTAGTCCTTCAATGTGCTATATTTGTTTTTTTCTTTCTGCATGTCTTATGCAAGGGTTGAGCTTTTCACTCAATAAAATAAAGATGTATTGAACAAAAATAGATCAATGGCCTGTTTCAATGTTGTCTTTTAACAGTCCATTAAGAACATGAAACGTTTTTTAATGGTGGCTTATAGGCTACCACGCTTGATTGCATGACATGTTTGGGCCAATGTAAGTGGAGCACATGCATGTATACACGTGTGTGAGTGCACGTACATGTGTGTGTGTGTGTGTCTGTGCCCCAGCTTGCTCTGACGTGTCCCAGGTTGATGTGCCAAGAACAGTTTGTGCAAGGGGACAGCAGCAGTGAAGAGACGATCCGCCCTGGGAACACACACGACAGGTGTGCAGTGCATATGTGGTCACATGATGGCTGTGAGGCAGATTAGGCCCCAAACAGATGAAGCGCTCCTTAATGGCAGCTTTTATTAAGTTCACAATGTGAGGGTGGGAGGGAGGAGGAGGAACAGAGGAAAAGCAGGTGGCCTTGTCTCTACAGTCATGGATGAAGATACATCTTTGTACAGCCAAGTCCGAAGTGGACGGCCACTACAGAAAGATTTATTGATATTTGATTGCCCTGGCCTTACTGTCTGGCTGAATTCGGCAGTAATGGCTGTAAAGGAACTACTGCAAATGCTCTGAGAGAAAAATGTCCCATCTAAGAAATATTACACTTGCCACTGATCATATCATGTAGGCCCATGTATGACGGAACACTAGCTGCACCATTTACATTCTATATAAGTCGTACAAACCATTTACGAACAAGAGAGATTACATTGTGAAAGGAGGGGCTCGTTTTCTTTCACAATCCACCCCTATCTTCTTGTTGCTTCTCTTTTAATCCACTGCCCTTTGTGTTCATTTATCTATTTTGGCACGTGTATGGGGTTATTTTCGAGTACCTCTGGTCATGGGGTAAAAAAGGCTCGGTGTGTCCCCCAAATGGCACCCTATTCCCTATATAGTGCACTATTTTGGGCCCTGGTCAACAGTAGTGCACTATATAGGGAATAGGGTGCCATTTGGGACATAGCCTATGTGAGGAAGGCTGCTTTGCCATTGGTAGCAGCTGTTGCTATTGAGAGACCCCAGAGGAAATAGAGAATTGGACACACATTCAGCCAATTTAACATTAACTAAACCTTATTGGAGGCTGGAGCACATGGCAGAACCATACAGCGCTACCGTATGGGGCTCTGTTTATATATGCTCTTACTCTCCCTTAAGGAGGTTTACAGGGTTGTAAGATAGTTGTGTGATGGTTATATGATAGTTGTGTGATACCATTTCAAGATGAAAGAGAGATGTCGGATAAGTGCAAAGAATACAAGGTCACTAAGATCCACTAACAGGCAAAGGCAGATGGAATGTGTTGTGTACTGTAAAAGACAATCACAAATGTACATCTAAGACAAAAGTACACAAAAGAAACAGTTCAATTGTCAATCGGCATTTATTCATACATTTTTTCCTCACTTGTGTATCCTTTTGACCTGCTCCTATTGAATCACATATAATGGACTTGAAAGTAACCAACATAACTTTGACTGCATGAACCTTAGAGTCTAATATGGAAGAATAAAAACTTTGAGCAGTTTTAAGATGAGATCATTTAAAATATCAAACACTGTTGTTTTACACTGATCTGCGAAGAGATTTCCCATCCGTTATTTGACATTTCTTCCACTGTTCAATCAAACCACAACATTAAATACTGGTGTTTTTAAGGTTCTGTCTTAGCAACCATTGCTCAGAGGGATCATGACTTTAAGATTCAGTATGATTTCATCCTGCAGCTTTTAAATAGATACAGTATATAATTATTTATTACAGTATGTATTATTACACATTTCTGGAAGTGTACAGTACATATATGCGCATGTTATGTCCACAAGTTTTTAGGCTTATGCACAGTATATGTACTGCATTTAGAGCTGATGCTTTATTTTCTTTTTCTGACAGACCTGAGTTTTTACAAGTTTAAGGTTGGGTAACATTTATTTTCAGCAACATGACACATTCTCTGGGAGTGGTGAATGTATAAATATTTGCCTTTCAATGCATTGTTCTGTTCAGACCTCAAGATAACAAGACATTCTGTTCTCAGCTCACCTATGTGTGTACTTATTTCCTTGAAAAACTGGATACAAATCTGTCAAGAGCAATGAGAGAGAAACATCAGAAAATCTACCAAAGTATATGAGAAACAGGACAAAACCCTTCACTAAAAGAAGCATTAATACTTGTGTGTTCCGTCATATGGGTCGTTCCATGAAATGGGTTCCTTTTGCACCCCTTTGATATTTTAAGTAAAAATTACGCACAAATATAGAATTTTAAAAGCCTGTTATATTAAATGAAGTACACTTCAATCTAGACCACATGGAGAATTCATTAAATCTGATTTTTTAAATATAAATAAAGGCTTGCTAAAGTATGAATATTCAGCATTTTGACATGTCCCTCTGTTACTTCTAGGAACATTTCAACCCACTTAATCCCAAAAGTCTCATTGCTGCTTTGACAATCATTTCTGAAGATTATTATTTATATTTATGTGATAATGATGCATTGACGTCTGTCCCTCATTTTAAGGTAAACCCTGTTATGCAAACAATTAACCACTTTTTAAAATAATGTACCATTGTACCAACTTAAATTATTAACAGCAGGTGACATCGTTTGGGTCTTCTGAACAGCATGGTGGAAAAGGAAGTAAGTCTTCTCTCTCTTTTTGGTCTATTTATTTAAAATGTATATTTGACTGAGGTGGTCGAGCTCAACACGTCAACCCTGTTCGCTCAATTAATGTTAAATCATATAATTTCATGAACACCATGCTCTTCACCACATGAGGAGTATTAGCCGATCTTCACCTAAAACCTCAACCCTGTTAGAGGCCCAACGGTAACTTTATCAGTATGATATTATATGTGAGTTTATTTGTACAACTGGATTCCCATTGTATTCAAACTGGGTTAGGCCCCCAGAATATTCATACTTGGCCCAATGGGAAAATCAGCAAGCAGTTCACAAAGCAGTGGAAAAGTAAATTAAACCATCACACAGTTGCAGTGTTATTCATAAAATCAATATGATATAGTTTCAAAAAGTCTAACTGATATCAATATAAGTTTTCCATATTGGTGCCATCACTATTACAGTGCCTTCGGAAAGTATTCACACCCCTTGACTTTTTACACATTTCGTTGTGTTACAGCCTGAATTTAAAATGGATTGAGATTATGTCACTGGCCTACACACAATATCCCATAATGTCAAAGTGGAATGATATTTAAAATATGTATATTTTTATTTTATTTTATTTACAAATGTATTAAAAATGAAAAGCTGAAATGTCCTGAGTCAATAAGTATTTAAACCCTTTGTTATGGCAAGCCTAAATAAGTTCAGGAGTACAAATTTGCTTAACAGGTCACATAAGTTGAGGGGTGTTATGTTGCAGTGGGAGTATTTTATTTGGTCAACAAGCAGTTGTCCGCATCTGTCAAACACAAACACAATCCAATGGAAAGATTAGTGTGGAGGCCCTATAAACAGCATTTGAAAAATGAGACGCCTGTCAACTCCGTTACATAAATGTTTACCAAGGAATACCAAACATTGTGTTCTATTTGTTTTAGTTAGCCCTGAAGTTTGCGCCTCACCGTAAATTAGTTTTATCCAGTGTTCAACAGGACTTTGCAAAGAGAACAAACTAGCATCAAACAGCGACGAGAAACAAGCACATAAAATTGTTAATCTGGCCATGGCGAGGAGCCAAGGAGCCATTATGTTTCAAGTAGTTTGCTTAAAAAATCTGACGGGAGGTCTCCAGAGCGGAAAGGATTGTGTTTCATCACTTTATAACTCCGTCCAAAAAGGAGAGAGCTAGGAGCAACAATCAAATGCCCAGAGCTAGCAAGCAAATTCAGCTTGAGCCGCCACAGTGCACCACTGACGAGAGGGAGGCCCGGTTTCTTGGCAAAGGAAGAAGTTCTTAAGTGCTAAGCTGTAAATTTGCTTAATTTGACGTGAGTCTGAGGGGAATGGGATCGTTTTCTTTCAGGGAAAAACCCTGGCAGATTGGCTGACAATGAGCTGCAATGGTCCAACATGGTGTATTGCTGTGTGATGATGGGAAGAAAGCAGGACTGGCAGCATTTGACAGGGCCGTAAAAGACTTCGACCCTGGCACCAGCCTCTTATGACTCACTGGGACATGGATACTGTAAAAAACTGATCTGGCTAATTCCATAGTAAACAATCCTGACTATTTACTTCGAGTGGCTTCTGTAAAAACATTTCAAAATACTGCTGTATCCATCATAACATGCTATGACAGTTTACACTGATACATAACTTTTACTACATATTGACGGCCTATTCTTAAATGATTTGTGGGCATCAATCGAATTTCGACTTGAAAAATATGTGAATAATTTATATTTATCTTCTAAGCCACTTTTCCCTTTGTCCTTGCCCAATATGAATCCTAAAACAGTGACCCATGACAAGAGCCTTTAAAAATACCGGTTTCAGTGACAGCTGCGTCCTTCATAAAAAAGTAGATGGACAACAGGTGGGCTAATCTTCTACATTATGGTTGTTGATAATACTCTGCGTCCAGCAGCTCAGTTATTAAAACGCTGTAATTTAATACGGAATACATCAGCAATGTGACATTTGTATCATGGAAGAAGGAAAGGTTTCGAAGATTGGACTGATGCTAAGAATAGAAAATGTCTATCATTGACTTCGGTTTCTGTTACCAAAGGAATTTTGTGAGTACCACGCTCCTTCCAAAGTCAGACGTTGGGCATCCAGTGAGGGATTTTGGGATTATTTTTTTCACTTGCTCTCTCTCTCTCTCTGAGGGCTCAAAAATGAGGATTGTATTTCGCAGCGACAATCCATGCCAATTCTGTAGGACAAGGTCGGCAAATCTACATCCCTCCCCCTTTTCCTAGAGACCACCCTCTATCCATCAGCACTTTGAGGGTTCGGGAAAACGTGACATCCAAAACAACAAATGATCCAACAGCTATGATT